AGCAAGAAGTTTTCTGGATCCAAGGGAACAGAATGACAGTGAACAAGAAGTTTTCTGCCTTTTTATGGCTGGAAAATTGATGCAAGGAAGATTAAATGGTTTCCACAGGATCAGCCCTGGGGTTGATGGCAGAACCAGGTACAGGAATCAATCCCTGGATTTGAGCTCTAATCACAAAACTGGTGTCAGAGAAAACAGACCAACACTAAAATTCTGCTAAAATTCTGCAGAAGTTTCCCCACTATTGGACATGTTTGAGGCACAAGGGGGGATTTACCATGAAACCACTCTGGATTTATCACCCTGAGTGTGCTCAAGCCAAGTTACAAAAGGGCAGAATGCTGCAAGTGGTCAGGCATGGATATGGATTTGCAGAAACTGCAGGAGCGTCTGATGCTATTGGAGAGTTTAAAAAGCAAAGAAAGGATACTTGTGAGTTCTAAACGTTGCTCCTCTGAAGTGCAACAGCTCCTTCTAGTAGATTTTTGCCATTTCCTGAAGAGAGCCAGTCTGTGTTCCAGGCAGCACAGACTTTCCTTCTTGGGAATTGCCCACAATTTCCCGCTTTGATGAGATTATTGTGATTAGAATCCAGACTGGTCAGACTTAGGGATCAGATTTACATATTCTGGGGTGCTTTGCCTGTGTTGGAGGCAGCTGTGCCAGGAAAGGTGGAGACACAAGCCCTGACGGCATGAGCATTGCTCAGGAGTGTCCGGGAAGCTCCGCTCTCCTGGAGATCGATGCTCCAGCCCTTTATTCTCCCCTGAAACACATTCCCATCTTATTGTCACGGCTGAGCAAGTCCTCTTCAAAGACTCCTGTTGAGCTCAGTGGGCTTTGAAGAGGGGTCACAATGAGTGAGCAGCTCCTGTGGTCTGAGGAGGACGGAGCATTTCCTCGTGGTTCCTTTGCAAATTGCTCTGTTCCACTGCCCTGCAGCCCACACAGCGTCAGATGGGCTCAGGCAGGGCCAGTGTGAGCATCCTCATCCCAGCTGGCTTCATCCTCACAGTTCTGCCATGGGATTCATCCCCTCACACCCCTTTCCAGCTCTGGATTGAGCCTGATGAGTTAAAAAATCTAATATGTCTAAAACTCACCTCCAAGGACAGGTAAAAGGAAAAGGACTTCTTGGAGTCACTTGTTTCTTTAAGTGAGCCTGTGGTATTTGTTTTTTGTTAATTAAAAAAAAAAAAAAACAACAAAACAACCCCCCTGTGCTGTTATCAGTGACAGCTGAGATCTACTTTTCTGAGCTTTTATTAGGGGAAATCTTTTCTCTGTTAGTGACATGTGGTAAATAACTTTTTTTAAAATTATTATTATACTGCTGTTATTGACTGTGGAATTTCTAGCAGGTGAATATTAAGGAAATGTGCTTGGTTGGGGGATTGACTCTGCAGGTGGATTCTTGTGTTTTGTCAGTGGTAGCCCATTTTCATGAAGTCCCTGGAAGACTTGCTTACATTCTCTAAGTGCCTTGGCAGACTCACTTCTGAGGTGCAAAGCACATACAATACTGAACATTTCTGGAAACAGAAAATATGTGCTAACACCCAGACACTTACTGAAACTTGTTTCAAAAATATATATCTATGCTTACACTAGGGAAAAAAGAAAAGCCATAACTTGCTGAAATCAATGATCTCCATCTTTTAATACAAATACTTGTCTTATTTTTTTAGAGATGAATATAGAATTTTTCAAAACTAGATTGCTTCTTACGAAGAAAAGCAAAGTTCTCTCTAAAGCAAAACAGTGAAGGTGGTGTCAAAATTACAGAGCATTTCCTTGTGGTTCCTTTGCAAATTGCCAGTGTGAGCATCCTCATCCCAGCTGGCTTCATCCCCACAGTTCTGCCATGGGATTCATCCCCTCACACCCCTTTCCAGGTCTGGATTGAGCCTGATGGGTTAAAAAGTCTAATATGTGTTTGCCCCTGGTGCTGCAGACAGATGAGGTCTAAAATCCCAGCTGAGCTCCTGCTGTGGGGTCTTCCATGGGAAGAAAGGCTCCAGGAGATTCCACCTGCCTGTCTCTACCTAGACTCTGCTTCCAGCTCAATCCCAAAACACACACAAGGCTCTGGGAGACCCTTTCTAAGACTCATTTTCTGACTTCAGGATGACCAGTTATTCTGAATATATCTCATTTTCCATTCCCAATCAGTGTTTTCAAAGTGCTGTGCAAAGCAGCTGTTCCTGAGTGGCAGAAGTTTAATTATTCACCACTCTTCAGGCACTCTCCTTCCCATTCCTGTCTCTCCATCCTTGCATCCAGTGGTGTGAGTCCAGACAGCTCAGCATCATCTTGGATCTTGCTGGCAGTGACACCCAAAATTGTCCTAAAAATGCAAATCCTGAATGATGGCATGTCTACTACAAAGGGCCTGGCTCACCTGGGCTGCTCTTTACCTCCATGGAAACCACAAATACCCATCAATTCCCCACAACTGGATCATAATCACAGCATTTTGCAGATTAATGGCTAATTGTGTTTAGTCTGTGCAAAGAGGAATTACTGAGCAAGCAGCTCCCACTCTGCTGTAATGGACAGAAATCACCAGTTACCATTTACTCCCCAATTATAGAGCAATTAATGGATCCAGGAAAACCTACCTGCAATGCTCAGAGCTTTGGCATCTCTGTGGATAAGCACAACAGGAGTTTAAGGGATGGGGGACTCTTAGTGACTTTTTTGGCCCAGCCAAACCAGCTTGCTGAGTTATATCTAGTTGGAAGAATATTTTTCTTGCAAAGTGGGATTTTGTCCTGCTGTAGATCCCAGTGCAGTGGGAGATCCCTGCTCTTAAAATTCTGCAGAAGTTTCCCCATTATTGGAAATATTTGAGGTACAAGGGGGGATATACCATGAAACCACTCTGGATTTATCATCCTGAGTGTGCTCAAGCCAAATCACCAAAGGGCAGGATGCTGCAAGTGCTCAGGCATGGATATGGATTTGCACAAACTGCAGGAGCATCTGATGCTACTGGAGAGGGTAAATCCTATTGTGCACTGTGCTCAGCAATAGCAGCAGACACAAAATGTTTCTCCCCTTCTTTCTTGCTCCCTTCTGTCCTTTCATCAACCATCTCCTCTCCCACCATGAGGTTTTGGCCTTTTGGTGAGGTGTTGGGTGGAAGCTGCTGATGGAGGTGGGCAGTGGGGTGAGCCCTGGGTGAACTGGCTTGAGATAAATCAAAATCTAGGTGGAAAAAAGGCTCTCAGCACCACGTGGAGAGGGCCTCCAGAGAGCAGCTTCCATTTCCCTCCTTGGGTCACCTCTGTGTGCCTTGACTGCCCCTGACAAGTGTTTGTTTAATTCTGTCCAACTCTCTCAGAAGTTTTTTTGCAGCTTTTTAAGACATATTTGCTGGAAACTGGATACTCCTTGCTCCAGCTGAAGCTTTTCTGGATCCAAGTAGGGAAAAGTGATTGCCTCCAGGGGTTTACACATGTAACAAGCTCTATCTGCTCCATCCCCAAAGGAGAATTGTTTGGGTTTTGGCAGCAAAATGGCATTGTTGATTTACAGTCTGTTCATGATCCCCAGCAGTCCCCAGACCCTCTCCTGCAGCACTGCCCAGCCACTCCAATTTCAGAGCAGTTTGCATCAATTCCTCCTACTGAAAAAAATCGTCCCTATTTGCCAGCACTGAATTTCATTTGGTTGATTTTGGCCCAGTTCTACAATTTGTCAAGTTTGTTTTGAATTCTTAACCCTGGTGTTGAAGGTTCTTACAGCCCCTCCAGAACAGTCATGAAATCATCCAAGTCAGTAGTGAAAATAGTGAGTAATGCCAGACTCAGGACAATATTGCTTTTGAAACATCCTCCCAGCTTGACATGGAATTATCTGATTTTTTTTGTTTAATGGTTTTTTTGCATAAACCTTATGGTGGCCTTTCTTAGGTCATATTTCCCTGGTTTGTTTATGGGGATCTGCTGTAGGATAGTAGCAAACACTCTCCTGAAATCAGGATAAATCACATCTGCTGCCTCCCCTTTATCCACAAAGTCATTAAGCCTTTCAAAAAGGAAATTAGATTGGGTTGACACAATTTGTTCTTGACAAATCTGTGCTGGCTGATTTTTATCACCTTATCATCTCGCAGGTGCTTATAAATTGATTGTTTAATAATTTGATGTACTTTCTTTCTTTCTGGGAAGCCAAGTTAGGCTGACAGGTCTATAATCACACAGTGGCTCCATTTTCCCCCTTTTTCAGAGGATTTCCCTGATTTTGAGACTTTACTCAGCTTCCAAGAGTTCTTCAGGACGTCCTTAATGTAAATAACCTCACCTACCCCCTCAGCACCCATGGGATACCCAGCAGAGGCACAGCTGGATGGAAGACCCCGAATGTGTGATTTACACCTCAAAGTTGCTCCCAGCTTGGAAAAATACTTTTCAAAGCAGTGCTCAATGCCCAAAAAATGGATTTCAAAGTTAAGGCCCATCACGTGCAAACCCACTTACATCATGGAATATTTTTCTGACTGATAGGCCAAGAGGGAGTGGCTCTAAGTTGAAGAAAGGTTCAGATCAGATATTAGGAAGGAATTCTTGGCTGTGAGGCTCTGGCTGTCCAGAGCAGCTGTGGCTGCCCTTGGCAGTGTCCAAGGCCAGGCTGGACAGGGCTTGGAGCAACCTGGGATAGTGGAAGATGTCCCTGCCCATGGCAGGGATGGCACTGGATGATCTTTAATGTCCTTTCCATCCCCATTCTGGGATTCTATGAATGTTCATCTAATGGATAAATGGGCTTTTGGGAGGGGCATGGTTGGAGCTCCACAGCTTTGGGAGCATCCCATGGCATTCTGGCAGGTGCTGCTGATTAGGGAGGTGAGTGACAGCTCCATTTCTCTTGTTCTCCATGCTCAGCACCACCTCTTGCCTCATCCCATCCTCTCCCCACCTCCTCTCTAAGTCTGGCTTTGGGTTTTATTTTTTTTTTTTTTTTGGTTTGTTTTGTTTTTCCTCTCCCACTTCTAGTACTCGTACGAAGGGATGGAGATTAACAGCCTGCCAGTGGAGCTGACAGTCGTGTGGAACGGGAATTTCAACATTGACAACCCAGCACAGAACAAAGGTAAAGAGTTATTTCAACTTGTCCTTGGAAGCAGTAACCTTAGCAACGGGCCCTCGCTCCCTACACTTAACAAAGCCGCCACCGTCTCCCCGTGCTGGCTGCCGCACACTTGTTCTCTGCACTCTGCAAATTACCAATTTCTGAGTGCTTTGTGTGCCTCCCCCCAGCCCTCCAGTTCTCTCATTCCACCTGAGAAACGTGGCTCTCCCTCCCACTTGTGTTGCTCCCCCTCTCCCTTCACCATCCCTGCTTCTTCCCGCATCCTCGTGTCTGCTTTTCACGCCCCTCCCTCTCCAGTTTTTTTTTTTTTTCTCCCCCTCTTTATTTCTCCTGCAGTGATGCTCTTCAAGTTAACATGCCAGGAGAACGGGCTCTCTGCTCAGAGGCAATTTAGTAATGAGCAGGGGAAGGCAGGAGGGGAGCAGGAAGGCTGCAGCTCTCCAGTGCGAGAATTCTGAGCAAAATGAAATGATGATGATGATGATAAAAAGGATCTGAAAACCACTTGTGTTTAAGCACCACTGGTAGCACAGGTTTGGTGTGCCCCTCTCAGAGGGGGCTGCACATCCAGCCACAGCCCTGGGTGTTTCTGGAGATGGATGGTTTGTCCACATCTTCTTCTTCCTTCTTGTCTTTCCACCCTGGAACCTTCCCCCCAGGCAACCCCTCCCCTTGGCTGCCCTGCATTTGCAGCTCACACCTGCAGATTCTCCTCTTCTCACATCATCACCTCTCAGAAATGTCTCCCTCCCTCTCTTTACCTTGTCGTGGACACTTCCCACACCTTCTCCCACTCAATCTGTCCCCAGCAGGTTCTGCCATGGTGCTGTCACACAGTTCCACACTATCTTGGTTTGGAAAGACAGGTGTCTGCTAGGGAAGGCAGGAGCATCCCCTGAAATGGAAAATGCAAATCCCCTTCCTCGAAATTGTTATAATTTTGAAATTAAGGGGGGCTCTCAGGCAAAGATATGGGAATAGGAATAACAGTTCTTTATTAGGGAAGAAAATAAAAATGAAATAAACAGTGCAGTAAAATAAAAAAACACTGACAGAATCAGAACACAACCTGACATCCTGTGGGTCAGGGTGTTGGTAGAGTCCAATTGGAATTGTGGCTGCAGCCCTCCTGGTGTCAGGTGTGGTTCTGTTGGAGCAGGGATCCTGTAGAAAGGTGCAGTCTCTTCCTCTGAAGATCGAGTGGAAGAGGCAGCTGCTATTCCTCTGGGAATGCAGGGGGCAAAGGCTGCTGTGCTGTGCCAGGCCCAGATTGGATCCAGGTAGGAATGCTTGGCTCCTCCCCTGGGCGGAGCATCTCCCCATGGGATGCTGGGATTGGATCAGCCCTGCAGGGACACTCAGTGGCCATGGACAGTAGAGATCTCCTGGAGGGAGGGTTGGCTGTGGGAGAGATAAAGAAAAAACTGCCCCATGGACAGAGAGAACTGCCCCAGCTCTGACAGATGGCAAATAGAATATACATTACTTGGCAATCTAGGGCACACACCCACCCTCATGCTGAGGGATGGTGAGAGAGGTTCCACCCAACACCACATCCAACCTGGGCAGCAACACAGAAGGCAACACTTCTCCCCATGGCACAGCCCCATCTGCCCTTTTTCACCTCTGAACGGCAGAGATCTGGCACCAAAACCCGAAAATTGTGGCTTTTTTGAGGGTTAAATCCACTCAGCAAACACAACAGGCTGGAGATTCCTGCCCAGCCCTGGCGCTCAGGCACAGCCTGTGCTCAAAGTCCACCCTGCCTCTGCTCTGAAGTTGTCTCCTTCTCTCCAAGCTATGTTTCAGGACACTGCTGATTTCCATGGCCCAAAGAGTGCCAAGGACTGGGAGAACCTTTAACAGTGTGGCTTGGAGGTCAGAATTTGGATGCTTTCTCCAGTCCTGCTTAGTTTTCTGCTGCCATAAAATGAGCACCCCAACACAAGGTGATCCACACCAAAATGTAAATCCTTTTCTTGGTCTGCGTTGAGCTATCCTAGGTGATGTGGGAGTGAAATAAATCTCATAATCATGATGACAATATTTTATGACTGTTTGTGCCAGTAACATGAAACAGACCAGGGGATGAACTCAAGAGTTATCTCCAGCACCTTCTTGGGTTATTCCAAGCCAAAATGTTGCAAATAATGACTAGGAAAAAATCTGGGAAGCAGCACTGGCTGGTGGCTCTCCCAGATGAGTAATTTGGATATTATCATCATGTTTTTTGGTCAGGAGGAGAGTTTAGGCATGTGCCCATAGAGATACCACACGGAAGCAGTGCCACACAGAGGTGACCAAGATGCCACTGCTTTCACATCCAGCATCACCATGGGCTGGGCTGGGAGATTCAAATGCCAAACTGACCCAAACCTGCTAAATTATCTACAGAAATATCCACTGGTAGCAGCTCAAGCAGAACAACTCAGCAAATTTGAGGAAATCCCAAAAAAAAACTAAGGAAAGAAGTATATTCCATGAGGTCTGGAAAACACTGTATTTGACAGATGTTTTTCAGGCTTTTTGGGGTACTTTTAGGTGCTGTTCTTGCACACAGCCTGCAGAAGTAAAGAGTTTGTGAGATTTTCTTGCATTGGCCAATACTTGCTGACATTAAGGGGGAAGGTATGGAGAGACAGAGCCTTTCAGCAAAAATATTTCCAAAGCCTTTGAGCTCTGGGATTGTGTATAAAGATAAAAACCACTTTAGTCACCCACAGACACAGCAAAACACAAGCACAGAGGGAAAATTTCCCAACATGCCCACAAATGAAGGAAAGAAAAAAGTCTGAGAGCCTTGGTCCTGTCACCTTCATCTTCCAGGAGGAGAATCCTGCTATCAGTCTCCTGTGCAAGACAGGCCTCCATTTCTACATCTGTAAAATAAGGATAAATAATATGATCTCATTTTGTAGGAGGACTTCAATATTTTTAGGTTTTATTAGAAAAACCTCAGAGTGCTTCTAATCACTTAACAGCTCAAAATGGAGCTAAGCATTAATCACTGCTGTCTGTATTAGAGTGGAATCAACTCTGCTTCAAAGTGGGAAGCAGACTGAATTTCTGGAGCAGAAGAAAGGGTAAAGGCTGGTTGTAGATCTGTGGAATCAGCCTAATAATGAACCACTGTGTATTCACTGTTACCTTTTGGGATTTCTGTCAAGTGGGAAACCTGAGTGGCATCACCTTAACCCAAAATCCTGGGGAGTTTCACACCCAAGTTTAAGTTGTGGGTTGGCCTGTGTCACTATAGGACATGAAAGAACACAAGCTCACACCTCTGTTCTCAAGAAAAATGGAAATTTATTTTCTGACTTTAACATCTATAGTTTTCCAAAAGTGACAGCAGAGTGGAGGGTGACAATGCCACCTCTCCAATGACACTGGTCAAACTAACAGTCTATCAACTTTCTCCTCCTCCATAAAGGAATGCAAAACAATGAGTTATTTACACAAAGTGTGTGAGAAAGTTCGCTACAAGAATGTCAACATCAGAAGGCTTAGAAAATCTTAAAAAACCAGAGTGACAGGCCAGGTCTAGAAAATTCCTTTAGGATGAAGTGCTGAGTCTGAGGCTGGTTGTTGGTGACACTTTATGGCATTCAGTCCGTGAGAAAGGAAGGGACTGAGGCCAAATCACTGCCCAGGCATCATTTACTCCAACTTCTTGCTTGTAGCCCCTCACCTTACCTTCTGCTCCCATACCTCTTCCTCTCCATACCTCTTCCTCTTTCATACCTGTTCCTCTTCATACCTCTTCCTCTCCCATACCTCTATCTCTCCCATACCTCTTCCTCTCCCATACCTCTATCTCTCCCATACCTCTTCCTCTCCCATACCTTTTCCTCTCCCATACCTCATCCCTCCTGCTCTCAGTTTCCAAAACCACCATTGATGAAGAATGAACTAACGAACTTTATTTCAAGGAGGATGTCCATGTTTTTCGCCCCATTACTCACCTCCCTGGAGAGTTGCTGTCGTACCTCTGGCACGAGCAGCCCAGAACACTTTCCCCTCTTTCTCCCACTGCCATCCCGCCCACCCCTGAGCTGCCTGCCTCTCTCAGGCCCTGTGTGTGTTTGCTGTCCCTGCAGTTCACCTGTACAAGTGCGGGGCCATGCGGGACAGCTGCGGACTCTGCCTGAAAGCCGACCCCGACTTCGAGTGCGGCTGGTGCCAGGGGCAGAACCAGTGCACGCTGAAGCAGCACTGCCCAGCCCAGGACAGCCAGTGGCTGGAGCTCTCCAGCACCAAGGGCAAGTGCACCAACCCCAAGATCACGGATGTAAGTCGTGGATCTGCCAGAAGCTGGGGGATTCCCTTTCCTTGGTTTGTTTTCTTGGTTTGGGCTTGGGTTGGGGATGGGGAGGTCAGGAGTGAGTTCTGATAGGTCAGGAAAAGCCTCAGGCATTCTGGGAGTGTGAGGCCATGGTGGCTTCAAAGGCAGGAACAGAATTTTTACAATTTTTTTTTTCAACCCAGGGGTGACATTGGGTGTTGGAATCCTGGTTACTGAGAATTTCAGACTTTGTGCTGCCAGGCACTGACCCCCGAGAGAACACTGCATTGACCTGAGGCCTGAAGAAGCTTCCAGAATGGAATGATGGAACTGGGATTGTGGGTGTGGAGTACTGAATGTGTTTGAATAGAACTGTGTAATATCACAGGGTGGAAAACTTAGAGTTTAAGGGTTTAGAACATAGTAATATCTATAAAGTAAGATGGAAGTTTTAGGGTGGAGGCTGGTCCTTCTTCATCTTCTTCTTCTCTTTCTTCTCCTTATTCTTCACCTTCTTCTCCATGGGTTTGGTTGGTTTTGTGTAATTGGATAAAAAGGTCCACATTACAGGACATGGGTGGTTAGTAATTGAGTTAAAAGTGAAAATAATTCGGGTGTCACTTCTTAATTGGACAGTTTATCCTTAAAAGGCCTTGTAGACAGAAAGATGGGGCTCCATTTTTAGCTTGTTGGAGTTATCTATTGATCATGTTGGCTGGGCCAAAGGAAAAGCTGGAGGAAAGGTTCAAAAAGGAAATAAGAGAATAGGAAGACCATAAGACAAGGAGCAGAATAAGGGAGAGAAGGCAGGGAAGGCAAGTCAGGCCTGAAATCTAAAGGGAATTTTTTTCTGCTGTCTTAGGAAGCCTTTGCCATAATGCCAGGCACATTTTCAGGGTCACAGGACAGATTTGAGCCTTGAAAATGGGGGCTCCATCCCTTCCAGTTGCCTCCTGCCTTGGGCACCTCTCAGTCACCAGGCCTTACTCAACATGAGCACCCTTTCAGTGTGGCAGGGCCTGATTTACAAATGGGAAAAGTCAGGAGGGAAACGAAACAGGGAAAACATGGGGAAATGCAAAAGAGGAAAATCCAGCCTCCACAGTGGTGCTTTAATAGGAATAGTTAGGTGGGTTATTTTCCTAGAAAGCAAGAAAAGCTTTTTAAAGTTGTATTTGATTCAGATTCAAAAAGTGTGGGTGTTATGGAGGAGCCCTAAACCAATATCTGTGCTTGAACATTTGAGGAGAGCAAAGGCTGGGTTGAATCTGTTTTTCCTAGATGTTACTGAAAATAACCCCTTTTCCTGTGTTTTGAGCCATCTCCCTGTCATTCACCAGCTTTCAAAGCTCTCTCTCAGTTGAACTGTTGGAGTTCAGTTTATTCTGATGTTTATGGCTCATTCTGGTGTTTCCAAGGTGAAGGTCTCTACTTTACTTGGATTTATCTCAGACTGGTAATTCTGACCCCACCTGAACCACCTGAAGCTGTGAAATCAAACCCAGGCAGCCAGAAAGCACAGCTAAATTCAACTGAAAATTCAGCTTTGAGGTCTTGAAAATCACTTGGAGCTGGGGGAAACATTTAAAAATATTTTCAGATTCTCAGACCCTGTGAAACAATGATAGAATTTGGTATAGGGGCAGCTGATGGAGGATCAATTAGAGAAGAAATCCAAAACACAAGGACCTGGGTGTGCAGAAGGTTCACCCACATTTCCCTGCCATGCTTTAACCCTAATCCTTCATCTCCAGCCTCATTTTGCAAAGCAAACCCCTCATTCTCCACCCTACAGTTCCCGAGTGCTTCAAATTCTGCTGGCATTTCCTCCAACAGCTCTCTGAGCTCAAACAGATCATTGCAACACTCACTCATGAAATATTCCAGCTGCCTGCTGCAATCCTTAAGTAGCTCTTGGAAGGCCTTTTTTCTGAGCCATTAGCATGGAAGTAATCTCAAGTGACTGGATATATATTGCAGCTAATGGTAGGTCTGGAGCTGTGGGATGGGAGCATCCAGAGCCTGGAGAGGAGCCAGGGCTGGGTCTCTGCAGGGAAGAACACGTGTACTCACACTTGTAGGGGCACTCACACCCCCTGCAGCACTGATCCCCCCATTTCTGTACCAGCCCTGGCATTTACAGAGCCACACAGGGAAATTAAGGGACTCAGAGACTCGCTGAGCTACAAAAACCTCCTTTAGGAGTGACAAGAAGCAGTTGATGTGAGCAGAGACTGGAAATTGAGATGCAGCTCTGGGGCTTCCAGAGAAGCTGAGGCTTCCTGGCAGCTTTTGTTTCCCTGCCTGGGTTTTCCTCTCCAAATCTGACAGGTCTCGTGCCACATTTTCCACCTGTGATAGAACAGGCTCCTCCTCTCCTGCTGTGAAAACAACCTGGCTTCCTGTTGATGCTTTTTGAGTCATAGCAAGAATTTTTTTAAATCTTGTGTTTTAGACAGCTTTCCCTTTCCCTTTCCCTTTCCCTTTCCCTCTCCTTTTCCCCTTTCCCTTTCCCCTTTTTCCCTTTCCCCTTTCCCTTTCCCTTTCCCTTTCCCTTTCCCTTTCCCCTTTCCCTCTCGCTTTCCCTTTTCCCTTTCCTCTTTCCCTTTCTTTTTTCTTTCCTGTCAAACCACTACAAACACCTCCTGGTTCCCTTTAGAGTCAGAGATAACTCACACTCACTGAGGAGTTGGTTCACAACACCTAAAATTAATATCCTAAAGTTAATATCCTAAAATTAAATATCTCCTAGAGGCGCCTGGCTCTCCCTCCTTCTATTAAAGGTTGGACCTTCTAAAATTCACCCTTTGGGTGGGCATCACACCAACCCTGGTGCCAGGCTGGGTGCTGGGAGCAGCAGGGCATGGCTGCCAGCCCCGGATTCCCACCTGGCAGAGCCAGGGGCAGGTGGGAATGGCCCTGAGACAGGGAATTCCCCTTTGCTCCCTGCAGGGAGAGCTGTGCCAGCCCTGGCAGATGGCAGCCATGGCATCCTGAGCAGGCAGCAGGGAAGTGTTTGAACCCTTCTCAAGAGGGCAGTGGCATGGCAAAGTGGGCATGGTGAGGAGTTGGAAGGGCAGGATGGAGATAATTAAGGGCCAGCCCTGTGATTCTGGTGTTGTTCCAATGCTCAGGAGACAGTTCCAGTGCTGATTCCAGCCTGGCTCTGGACAAGGGGGATGGAGCAAGGCCCTGTGAGGGTCTGATGCAGGGCCAGGCTGGCATGCAAACACCATCCCAGCAGCCCCCAGGCTGGTTGGGATGGTTGGTCCTCTCATGCTCAGACCCAGAGGCTCCACAAATAATCTGTCCATGCTCCCTGCATGCCCTTCCAATGGCTCCAGCTCTACCAGGAGGGAAACTGGAGCTCTTTCAGGAGGAGGTGTTGGCACAGAGCAGCTGCTGCTGCTGTCTCAGTCACCATCCAACTCCTCCACACCTAACCCAACACCCTGTTCCTGCTGTGGCTTGGCCGGTTTTTTTCCAGGTGGACATTTTCAGCTGAATTTCTGCTGCATGACCATTCCCTCCATGTGCTGTGGGCTGGGAATTTTGGATTTCCAGTGACTGGCACAACCCTTTATGTCCTTGTCTTGTCCTTACTCCCATTTCTCTCCACCGTGTGCCTCTGCTGCCTTTCCATGGCTTACATCTACAAAGTGCAGAGCTCAGCTGCAGCTCCATAGATCCCCACAAAAAAAATCTTAAACTCATCTCTGGATGTTTTGCAAGTAGTTAAAAGAGAGTAAATGAGGTCTGAGGCAGAATTTTGCATACTCTGTGTATCTGAAGTACGTTTGTTCAGCCTTTATAAGTGTCCCTAGTGATCCCCAAAAGTTGTCTGTTCTTTCACCTAACAGGTTTTGTATTTGTGTTGCCCCCAGATGAAGAGAAGGAATGATGAATCTGACTCCATGTTCTCAGAAGGCTAATTTATTATTTTATGATAATATATTATATTAAAGAATGCTAAACTATACTATACTAAAGAATACAGAAAGGATACTTACAGAAGGCTAAAAAGATAATAATGAAAACTCCTGACTCTCTCCAGAGTCCCAACACAGCTTGGCACTGGTGGCCAAAGAGTAAAAACAATTTACAGAAACCAATGAAACAATCACCTGTGGGTAGACAATCTCCAAACACATTCCACATGAGCAAAACACAGGAGAAGCAAATGAGATAATAATTGTTTTCCTTTCCTCTGAGGCTTCTCAGCTTCCCAGGAGAAGAAATCCTGGGTGAAGGGATTTTTCCAGAAAATGTGAATGCCACGGACAGGATTCTGGTGCCTGCTTTGATTGTTCTCCTTTCTTTTGGCTTGTTTCCCCAGATCAACCCCGTGACGGGCCCTCGTGAGGGAGGCACCAGAGTGACCATCCGTGGGGAGAACCTGGGGCTGGAATTCCGGGATATCGCCTCCCACGTCAAAGTGGCCGGCGTGGAGTGCAAGCCCCTGGTGGAAGGGTACATCCCAGCAGAGCAGTAAGTGGGGTGTGTGGCACAGCAAAGGCCACAGCACACCTAATAACATTCCTACTTTTAGTGCCTTCCAAGGGATCCATTCCAGCCTGGGAATTCAGGGATGGAGGAGGCCATTCCTCATGTACAGCTCAGGATATTCCATTTATTTAATAATCCAGTTATTACTATGTTTAGATTGCATACATAGGTGATCCTCATGGCAAATGCCCGTATGTTATCCTGCTTTTCACCAAGCAGTCACCCCAAAGTGTTCAATCCCAGTTTGGAAGGCAGCAATCCTGAAAATCCTCTTGCTAAATGCAGGAGTGATCATTAAACCTTAGAGCTGCCTCCAACACGCCAGGCTGGAGCTGAGAGGGATGGAGCTAGACTTCAGCCTAACATTTCTCTGTGTATTTAAGTGGATTTACACCACCTCAGCACTTGTCTCAGCCAGAAGCCACCACTTTCTAAAGAATAACTTCATCCACAATTTTGGTTCTGGATGGGACAGAAAAGGGTGGATTAATCATCAGTCCATCCCCCAGCACTGAGGGCTCTTAGCTGCAACTCCATCTTACCAGAACCTCTCCTCAAACTCTGCTCCTGGTTGGTGTTTTCCCCTCAGGATCGTGTGTGAGATGGGGGAGGCCAAGCCCAGCCAGCACGCCGGATTTGTGGAAATCTGCGTGGCCGAGTGCAAGCCAGAGTTCATGGCCAGGTCTTCTCAGCTCTACTACTTCATGGTAAGTTCCTGAAAAAGTTCTCCTTGGCCCTGAACTCCTTGGCCTTGCTCCTCTTGCTCCCTCTGTCCATTGTCCTTCACTACATTGAGCCTCTGAGCTTTCTCTGCCGTTCCAGTGCACCAAATTGTTCATTCCATTTCCTTTCAACATCTTGTTCCCAGCAAAAATAGCTGGTGTAATTAAAGTTTTAACAACCTAATAATAGTCCAGATTATTAGTCCAGTTACAGTTCCATGCAGTCATGGTCCAAATTAATACAGAAAATTCTCATTAATAGTTAAAAGTGCTGTACAGGAAAGAATAAAAAAGAGCTAAAAAAGGGGAAAATTTCCCTAGTATCTTATTTTTTTGGGTATGATGCTCCTGCTACCAACACCCGCTGCTTGGAGCCACCAGTGTTGTCCAGAAGAAATTGGGCGCTGTCACCACTGATTACAACCTCAGGATCTTCAGCAGCATGAGTGTGATGGTCTTGATTGGGTTTCTTTCTCCTCCCTCCTGGATTTCCCCAGGTGTTTATTCATCCCAGGACCACTGGGATCAGGACAGATCCAGCTCAGGCTGCTGGTGAGCTGTAGGATGTGACTGGGGCTCAGTGCTGCTTTTGGATGCTCCATGATGAAACAAGAGACACCTGCAAGCTTCAGCTTCAGTTCAAGTGCAAACACATGTTGTACACTCAACCTGTGCTTTATTCCTCCCTTCTGATGATGTTCCTTGTCCAAGAGACCTGATTATTCCTCTAAGGCCCCTTGCTGGGGACATGCAAGCATTGTCTGGCCTTGATCTGTTCAGATCTGTGCAGGTTTGAGATGAGAGGGTCCCTTTGTTCCCATCAAAAGCTCTCCGCACTTGCAAGAGAATGGGTCTCTTCTGAAATTATTCACATGCCTGAACATTTCTTTATGGTAAAGGGAACTTGTAATGAATGCAAATGTCTTGGATTCCCCCCTCGAGCTACAGAAATTCCTCTGTTCTCTGCATCTCTCGGTGTCACTCAGGTGTTGCGGTGGCAGGGGCACAGAAACACCTTGAGAGAAAGCCCCTACCAGGCAGCCAGAAGGGCTCTTTCCAGGACATTACACTTCAACGTGTCACCTTTTGCTACTCCTGGAATTACTGTCTGCTTTTGATCATCCGTGTCCATCTGTGACAGCTTTTCCCTCCTCTCACTGCCTTCCCGGCTGCCAGGGCGCAAGCACGAAGCCACCGGGGTTTTTCTCTGCTCAGTACCTCCACACCTTTGTGCTAAACGAAAAAAAAACCCAAAATATAGGCACTCTCCAGCCTGCCCATCATATTCCCTCTCCCGTGTCTGCTGCTTTCACAGTGGGAGCTGTGTTTTTTTGGCTTCCTTGGGTTTTTTCTGCCAGGAGGGCAGAGATGCTGTTGCAGGAATCTCAACGCGCCTTGGCATCCTGCAGCGGTGCGTGGCAGCTTGAAGGGAAAGAAGATGTTTGAAAAGCAAGGAAGGGCAGCACCTGGGAGATAAATGTCACTTCTTGACTCATAGCAAATCTTCTGGAAAATTGGTTTTCAAGAGGTTTGAAGGAAAACTTGGTTGGAGTTTGGCCAATTGGTTCAGCCTTTCCCTGTCTTGCAGGAATTCGAAGAGATGATAGTTTGGGCTCAGATGAGTATTTAATTTCAGTGTTTTAAGAAAGAGGTGGCTTAGTTTAGAGATGCCAGAATGGTTCTTCTCCACCTTTCTAACCAGAACTTTTAAATTCAAATAGCTGCTCGTTTGTTTTAAACTTGTCTGTGATCAAAACCTGCAAATTGCATTAGAAAGTACAATAAGCCAAGAGGGAAACAAAGCTGAAATGAAATTTATGATGATCTAAATGAAATATATTTTTTTAATTATTCATTTTCTTGCTGTAATTATTGCCCCAGTCTTTCAATGAAAAAAATGTTACATTTACTGAAGAATATTTATCTTTATTCTGGCTTTAGATGAAAATATTGTGTCTCAGTGCAGGTGTTGTGGGCTGCTCCACATTTCTTCCTGAAATCCTTGTTTTGGAGAGCACTTCCCATCCATCCTTTTCATCTTTTCCCCTCTTACTGCTACTGTGGAACCTCTAGGAAGGAAACTCAGGTGCCCAAGCTATGTTTGAGTCATAGCTTGCTCTTCCTTGTTCCCAGGAGGAATGGAATGGGAACCAAGGTTCTGACAAGCTCCATGGGGAACAGTTCAGACCCACCTCTGATGGTGCTTCTCTGTGGAAAACCTGTGTGCAGGAGATGCTGGAGGAAAAAAAGGATTGGGAAGCTGAGGAAAGTAGATAAAATCCTAAAAAACGCAGAAAATTTCATGTCCTCTTTCCCTCGTTGTCACTCTCCAGCCTATCACAGATCCACAAGACTGTCTTTGCATTTTCCACCACCTTTCACCAGTGAGGAAATGGTGAATAGTTTAGAGTTTTGCTGTGAATGTGCTGTGCAATATTCAGGAATGCCACTGTGAATAATTTAAGGCTGATCACACCTTTGAAAGCTGAGCCACAAACCCATTTGTAAGATTGGCTCCAGGCACAGCTTTGCCAAGGAGCCTTCCTGGTGTGGCTGCGACCTGTGAGGATCCTCAAAATGCCATGGCTGCTTTATCTACCCCAAGGAGAGGGCAGGGAACCCACCCAGGGGTGGGACAAAGCTCTTCTGGGTCTTTAACTCAGATGTTCTCTATGATTTTTGAATCAGATACTGCTACAGTGATGCTGTGTGGGCTTTGGGCACCAGGTTGGCCATTCCCAACCCATTTTCTGCCAGCCATCAACGTCAGTGGGAATTTGTACTGGTGGGGGTGTCCATCATTAAGGGAGCTGCCATAAGAGCTTAAGGTGGTGCCCAAAATATAAATGAGCAGTACTGAAGTGCATCCTTTGCGTTTCCATACTCTTCCTGTGGTTTTTTATCCCATTAAAAGACAATGGTAGAGAATATTCCCAGAAAATCACACTCCAAGCTTGGAGAATGGCTGGAATGCTGCCCAGTGGAAAAGGACCTGTGGCTGGACATGAGGCCAGGTGTGTCCAGGTGGCCAAGAAGCCAATGGGCACCTGGGTTATATCAGGAACAGTGTGGCCATCAGGAGCAGGGCAGTGCTCACCCCACTGTGCTGGCACTGATGAGACGCCACCTCAAATCCTGGATTTTGAGCTCCTCAGGAAAGAGAACAGAGCTGGGGAAGGGTCTGGAGCACCAGGAGGGGCTGAGGGAGCTGGGAAGGGGCTGAGCCTGGAGCAAAGGAGGCTCAGGGAGGACCTTGTGCTTTAGTTGTGGGTTAAAGCCTGGACTTGGCAGATCATAGGGGTCCTTCAAAAACCTCAAAAAATCCATGATTCTAAGTATAAAACCAGCTTCCAAACCATCAGGTGAAAACCAGCCAGGTTTAAACACAGAAAGTGCCCGGCTCTGACAGCAGATCCTTCTACAGAGCTGGTTTTCATGTTCTGCCCTTCCTCCAAGAGCTGCATTTAGAACAGGAGCAAAATGGAAAAATGGAAATCTTGCCGCTGTTTTTCAAAATGATTAAACCAGAGGGGCCTGGGAACAGAGGTGGCTCTGTGTGTGTGAGAGTGGGAGCTGTGGTGTGTGTCAGGTGGTTTTATAAACATGGATTAATGGTCTCCAAAGCTCAATAAGGTGACTGCATGATGTACCTGCTCGCTCAGAGGAGCTGAGAGCTTCAAGCACTTGTGTCATCATTCTTAAAGAGAGGGGGAAAGAAATAATCTTCATTTAAATGCATATAGTAGCTTTTCACTTGGGACTGAATGGAAAGTTTTTCTATTAAAATGCAAATGAAAGAATAAACTGTAACACCAAATTTCTCCCTGAATATTGATGTCTCCTCTCTGCATTGTGGTAACAGGGTGATCTGTGCCTTCAGAGCGCGAGTATTTTATCTTGATTTGGGGAAGAAGGGAGGGTGGCAAGGTAAGAAAAAGAGTTTTGAGATTTGGGGCCTCTAAAGGAATTGTGCCCCTTTTTGATGTATTAACAGAACGCTGTGTTAGGCTGGGAAAAGAGGCTCAGAAAATCAGCAGAAAAAGGGAAAAGGTGATCAAGGGGCAGTGCTGCTCCTGTGGCTGTGGCATTTCAGAGAAGCACCACCACCATGTCTCACTGAAGGACAGCTCAAGGCTGTCTCAACATCCAGGCCAGAAAAGAGAAAGATTTAGGGTTTTATTTAGGGCATTTTGCACCACGGCAGGTCCAGGTTGGACATCAGGAGGAATTTCTTCATGGAAAGGGTTGTTGAACATTGGAATCACACCAGGAGGTGATGGAGTCCCATCCCTAGAGGTGTTCAAAGAATGAGCTCTGTTGTGGTTGTCAGGCTGGCAGTGGGTCACAGGCTGGACTTGGATGACCTTGGAGTGATTCTGGGATCCTGTGTGGGAGAGGCAAGAGCACACTCAGGTGTTCTGCTGAGCTCTCCTCCATCCAAAGGGGAATGGCTTCCCCCTGCCAGAGGGCAGGGTCAGATGGAATATTGGGAAGGAGTTGTTCCCTGTGAGGGTGGGGAGGCCAAAGAAGCTGCGCCTCATCCCTGGCAGTGTCCAGGGCCAGGTTGGACAGGGATTGGAGAACTCTGGGATAGTGGAAGATGCCCCTGCTGGGGTGGGACTGGCTGATCTTTAAGGTCCCTTCCCACCCAAACTATCCTGTGATTCTGAGAATCAATTAAGTTGAGTGATCTTCTCAAAACCAAACAATTTCCATCTGAGTTCCACAGTTTGGAGGTGGAGATTCCCCATTCAGATGCAATCAAACCAGTTCACTGCCTGAGTTATCCTGCAGAGCTGGATAAAAGAGCCCTGGTCTGTGCCAAACAAGCAGTGGGGATGAGAGGTTGTGATCCAAGGTGCTCCAGGCACGGGCCTGTCTTTGTAGGATTATTTCTGAGTGGGTACAAGGGCAGATCTCATTTTGGAGGAGTGAGAACAGACTGGGGTTGGGTCTGAACTCATCCCACCAACCTGGCATTCGAGCAGAGGGTCTCTGACAGGTCTGGATCACCCCAGGCTCCTTTATCAGCCAGATGTGGCCAACTTCAGAATTACCCTGATTAATCCTTGGGGGTGCCTCCCTCTCTCCAGCACTGACAGGAGAGGGAAGGTCCCTGTGCTGTGTCTCCAACACCTCCCTTTGCCTCCACAGACTCTGACCCTCTCTGACCTGAAGCCGAAGCGAGGACCAGTGTCGGGTGGCACCCAGGTGACAATCACAGGCAACAACCTCAACGCTGGCAGCAATGTCATTGTGACCTTTGGGAGACAGCCCTGCCTCTTCTACAGGTACAGATGAGCCCTCCCTGCTGCTCATGCCTGAGTGTGAAAGATTAAATGCCAATTAAAGGCAGGAAACTTCTCCTGCAGCCCTGACACCTTGTCCCTCAAGCGCCTCCTTTGCTGCAACAGGACTTGTGCATTCTGCACCATGCACAGCCTTGCTGGCCATGTTTTTGGGGAAAGAAAATAGGATTTATTTCATTGTTTTGACTAGTATTTGATGTGCTTTTTCCCGTGGCCTCTTGTCAGATTTCAGTACAATTCTCCACGGTCCTGCGCTCCGCTACTTGCTCTGGGAGTGCGTCGTTTAAAAGATTCATTTTCATGTCCCTGCTTTAGTGGAGGTGACAAAGAAAATCTGACAACATCAGTTCGAAGTACTAAACCACCTCCCTTTTATCCCAGAATAGTCCTGTAGTGCTAAGAAATGAATGATTTGCAACATTTCAGCTCTGTGTTGGCTCCTGCTCAATGGCGCTTCAGAGAGGCTTAATGTCAGTGTTACCTGCTGGATGTTCCCTGATCCCTGTGAGAATGAGCCTGAATCCCATTCCCAGGGGCTCCTGCAGCTCCAAACTACCCAGAGCAACACATTTTGCTGCCAGTAGAGATGGGGGCTGAAGATGAAGTTGGCACATTTCTCCCAAATATGTCCTTGGCAGAGGAAGAGCTCATTCGCAGGAGACCTGGGAGCACTGCCCTGGGGCAATGCCCTTCCCTCTCCTGGCTGTGGGGATCCTCTTTAGCAGCCTGTCATGGCTGTGGAGTGATCCAGCATCCAAAATTCAGCAGGGTGAAGTCACAGCCTGTGATTTGAAATGCCAAGTGGGAGCCACAGCTGCTTGGAGATGCTCGCTGAAGGCTGGGGAATTTTAGGAGGGATTGAGCACTGTCTTTTGGGGGAATTCAGAGGGCACCTGGAGGGTGCAGTCATTGGAGGTGGCTTACACCCCATTTTAGGGGTATAAGGTGAGGCTGCATCACAAATCACAGGACTGGGAAGTCTGAGAATGGTTAGTGCCCAGATTTTTGACTCATTTTGAAAGAAATGCAGACCTGGAGCTGGGTATGAGCCCTGCCAAAAAGGAAAGGTTTATGCAGAATCCTCTTTAATCATAAAATGCTTCCCACTGTATTACCACTTCCAGAGGTCCCAGGCATGCTGCAAACTGCACTTAAAACAAGACTTAGAGTCCTAATGCAAAGCAAACTTTATGATCCCAGGCTGCAAAGCTGAGGTGCAAACACCCCTTTTACGAGCTGCTGCTGCACATGTCTGCAGGCAGGAAGGAAACATCCATCAAATGTTTAATCACAGAGAAATACTTCTGCAGAGAGGCCTGCTTTGGACTGCCCTTGGGGTTCAGATTTTGCTCTGAGTCCTGAGAGATGAGGGCTCTTGTGGTTTTGTTTAAACCAGCGAAAAGGCAATGCCACTTCCCCAGAGACTGCTACAGGAACACAAATGGTTCACACTGAGTTCCACCTCTTCAGTGCACAGGTTTGGGCCACAGGACATGAGAATAAATATCTGGGCTCTTTTTGGCACCATTTTGCTGCTGGTTCACTTTTACTTTCTCCTCCTCCCAGGAGATCCACCAAGCACATTGTCTGTAACACCACGGCCTCCTATGAAGGCTTTGAGAAGGTGAAGGTGTCTGTGAGAGTGGACAAGGCCAAGATACATCAGGAGCTGCACTATGAATATGTAGAGGATCCCACCATCCTGAGGATCGAGCCTGAGTGGAGCATCTTCAGGTGAGAATCCCAGGAAAACCCTTCTCCCAACTCCCATGGTTTTTTAAAGGAGCACTGCCCTGATAACTTTGGCCCTTGGTGTAGAAAACTCCAAGCATTGGAGCTTGGAAGGCAAAAGCATTGCTTTCCAAGCATTGTGTCCACCAAGAATTTGTGCAGTGATACTTTCCAAAGCCAATAGATCCCTCAGGGTGGATTAGAGTGAAATGACACTGAATAATTAGTGTTTGTATAATATAATAGATATGTAAATATATATATATATGTATATATATATATATATATATGTATAGATATATAGATATATAGATATATATTATATATGTGTAAATATATATATATTATATTTATATATATATAGGTTTATTTTAGAACAATTTGGTTTTAAGGGAAAGCAGCTACAAAGCCATTCTGGTTGTTATTATCTCCAACAATATGAAAATACAAAAGCCTAAAAATATCACATAAGAAAAAGCACAAGGAAGAAAAGGAAAGGATGAGAGTAGAAAGATTGCACCACTCATAGGCTCCACAGAACTTGGTCATTGCAATTTTGATGTCTGTCAGTTGAAGTGATGGTCACAGACTCGATCCATCAGAGGACAAGGGGCATCCCAAAGAAATGATGAAGAAAATTCTCAGAACACAACCTCTCTTGGGTTTATACTCAGGTGGGAATACCCAGCAGGGAGTTTCCCACTGGATGGTGGAAAGCTGTGGATCAGGGGCACCTGGATGATGGTGGATCATCCAGGTGGATGTGGTGGATCATGAGTTTTTTACACCTTCTAAGTCAACACAGCTGCCTCTTGCACCAGCCCAGCTCACTCCATCAGAGTTTAGCTTTTATATTTTTCACATTCTGTGCTGCTTTAGTGTATGGGTCTGAGCTTCACATTCAGGGATGGTGAGCTCTGTGCACAGAGCAGGGAGACAAAACAATTCCTGCTCCAGCTGGGCACCAAGGACAAATGCCCCAAATCTCAGCCCAGGAGCACAAACCCCGTGGGCTGCAGAGAGAAAAACAAGCAGGGTGGGACTGCCTGGGCTAAAGCTGGGATGGGACAATGAACTGCAAGGTGCAAATGGAGCAGAACTGACCCCAGGGAGAGACCCCGGGAGCGCTCGTGCATTTTGGGGCCGTTTTGGGTCATCTTGGGTGCAGCCCTGGCTGGGCTCTGGTGCTGCCCAAGGTGCATCCATGGAGGAGATCCTGTGAATGAATCCCTGCTTTATTCTGGAACTATGCCCAGCCTCTGCTCTAGCTCAGCCTTCTCAAGGCATCACACTTGATAAGGACAAAGTTCCTCCTCCCAGAGTTCACCTCTTTCCTTATCTGGTCCCACACCAGCTGCAGCCTGAGCTGGGCTGAGCCTGGCCCTGGCACCTGGGTGGATGCTTTGCCCATGGCAGCTTCCCCTGAGTGTTTGAGCATCCCAGTGTCTCTTCTGGAATCACATTCTTCTCCCTAGACCTGGGAGGACTGGACAATTGTATCACATTTGTCTTATCCCAAGTTCCCTCCACACTCCAAATTCTGTTTATAGGTGTATTTGGGGAGGGGTGGCTTCAGTGGTCACGGATGAGCAGCTGCTTCTTTGGAGTTTGCTACAGTGGGAAAAAGCCTTTCCATGATTTTATCAATATTTAAGCCAAGAACCATTTCATTCTCTCACAGTTTGCAAGCTGCAATTCCTACCTTTCCCATAGCCTTCATAGACTTGAAATTTTACATTTTTCATAACTCTCATAGACTTGAAATTCCCACATTTCTCAGAGCCTTCTTGGACTTGAAATTTCTACATTTCCCCCAGCCCTCATGGACTTAAAATTCCTATATTTCACACAGCTTTAATGGAATTGAAATTTCTACATTTCCCACAGCCTTCATGGCCTTGATGCCTCAGTACTAAGCTCTGCCTGCTTGGCCATGGTGCCTAGAAGCCCCAGGGCTCTGTCCTGAGATGAAACACAAAGGGAGCCCTGCTCCCTGCCCCATCCAAGAGCCTTTCTCCTCGTTAGGGATCCCTTTTTCTCCTCACCCCCTTGATGCTGCTTTGGTGAATTCACAGGGTTCACATGAAGGTGCCTGAGAGCAGCGTTTGCCCTGGTTGTGGAAAGCATCAAAGTGATGCCCAAACTCTCAGAAGCCTGGAGGAATGGCCTCAGGAAGGGAGAAATTGGTCATTAAATGCACTGGTATTTCCTTGAAAAGATACAAAATAAGAAATCTTAGTCTCCCCTCATTCATCCAGGGCAGCTCTCTGCTTCCCTGTCAAACTTGACTGATTGGAGTCCCTGGGGATTAGGAGCAGGGCTTGTAAATCCCCCCACTTCAGCTCCCATCCCAAAGATGTTTTCACAAATCAATTAGTGCCTTTAATTACCGTGAGGGAATTTACTGATTTAGCCGGATTGAGTCTTTGCACGTTGGGCTTGAAGCTTTAATGTCAGGATTTTCCATTTGGGGCTTTTATTTCCAGTCAGAGTCCAGGTTATCAGTGAAATGAGAAATCACTTTACTCCCTCAGAAAGCCAGTTCAGTGCTGCTTAAAAAGGTGCAAGATTGACAGCCGAGGAGAGTGAATTCCTGAAAATCCCCTGGAAAGCTGCAGCACAGGGACCTTCCTCTTCCTCTCTGGCCTCAGGTGTGTCAGCAAAGCTTTGCCCAGCCTGCAGGTGCAGGGACTCTGTGTCCCATGGCTGGATGGGTGGGATGTCCCATCCCAAATCCCAGAAAAAATGAAAATAAGGGTGAGGTGCTTGTTTAGGCGGTACTGGGTTATTTGTAGGGTGTGTAGCTGCTGGGATGGATGGGATCTCCCATCTCAAATCCCCCAAAAATGGAAATAAGGGTGAGGTGCTTGTTTAGGGGGTACTGGGTTATTTGTGGGATGTGTAGCTGCTAGGATGGATGGGATCTCCCATCCCAAATCCCCCAAAAATGGAAATAAGGGTGAGGTGTTTGTTTAGGGGGTACTGGGTTATTTGTGGGGTGTGTAGCTGCTGGGATGGATGGCTGGGACTGCACGTCTCATCACTCATGCAATTATTAAGGCTGGAAAAGACCTCTAAGATAATTGTCTCCAATTCTTTACCCAGCACTGACATGTTCACCACCAAAATGTGTCGCCAAGTGACACATCCACGCAACTTTTGAACACTTCCAGGGATTATTTGAGCATAGGGGGATGGAGCATTTTTTGGGTACAACCTCTCCTCTTTGCTTTCTTCATCTGAGATCAGGAAGCATCAACTTGAGCATTTTTAACCAGACCTCTCCAATTTCATCCTCCTTCTTAAGCACTTTTGAGTCCTTCCAAAGGTGCACAACCCTGGAGAGAGAAGATGGAATATCCAGGATTACCATGGGGATTTGTGGTGTCAGGGACAGTTTTAGGTGCTATAACTGTGGGACCGAGCTGTTCCCAGGGAGAGATGATTGCCACTAAACCAGCTTTGCAAAACCAGTGAAGGAATGCACCAAGCCTGGCTTAAAACCTTTGTTTTTCAAAACAATAAAGAAAATATTACTGCCAATTTATTTCCATAGCCAAAAAAAAAGTCACACTGGGTTGGCAAGTAAATAAAATTTTATGAGCTCCATTAATACTTTTGATCTGGGTTTGATTTGAGTTACATCCAGCAATTACCTGAGTCTGAAGGCAGAAAATGATACTCAGGGTCTTTTGGGGCAATAAACTGTTAAATTCTGAGGGCTTTTGGCACCTCTGTTATTTTGCTGGGCAGCAGAAAGGTCTCCAGGCTCTGCTCTCACCTGGCTGAGCATCCAGATGCCAATGGCCAGTGATTTTCAAGGCAAGAAACATTTTTATTTCCTTTATTTTCAAGCCAGAGAGGGTTTGGGGGTGATTTTAAGTCTTCAGCAAACAAAAAACTGCTTTACCTTTTTTCTTCCTCTCTATCTGGTTGGGCGCTGTGGTTGTGTTTATTACCTGTGGTCTGAGCCTGCAAGCTCAGATTCCAACCCAAATAGAGGATATTTAACTCGTGGGTTTAAAGCTGTGTGCACAGATTTGGTTGAATAAATAAAAGGATTTGTCTTTATATAGACACACATATCTGTAGGTGTGTTCACACATTGGATTTTTGTGGAACACATAAAACTTTTAGCCAAGTAAAGATATAAAATCCCTTCTAGTTTAAATCAGCAGAGATTAATTATAATATATATATTATATATATGCTATATATATATATAAATATAATATATATAATATATATACTATATGCACTATATATAATATATATTATATATATAGTATATATAATATATATATTATATATGCGTAATCTATATAATATATGTACTATATATAATATATATTATTTATGGTAGTAATTATGTTATCATTAAATTATACAATAATAGCAATAAAATTATATTTTTATCAATAATATAAATGCACACAGCCAAAATTCAGAAGATCCAGGACAGTGGAGAAAGAACAATTTGGTTTATCCACTTTTGAGTGTTGAAGAATTCTCTCTAGATTATGTCAGGAATCTTTACATGGAAGCTGACTTTTGGAGAGAGGATATTTTTTTCTGTAAAGCAGGGAAGGTCTTTTGTAAGACATGTGACTTCATCAGGATCCCTTGTGCATTCAAAAAAACTCACCCAGATCTTATAGAAACAGCAAAATGTGGGTTTGCTCAGTAAAATTTCCCACTATAGCTGATATTTCAGAGAGAAAAAACTTGAGATACTCTGCAAAACTCAAGGTCAAATATTGCCCTAAGCATGGACCAGTCCAGCCCTTGAGTGAAAGACCACGAGGAGCCTCCCAGAAAAGTGTCCCCCAACATCTGCTGAGAGATGTGGTTGTGCCAATTCTCTCTGGATAAACCCCAAAAGTGCTTGGTTCATCAGTGTGGGTACCACTGGAGGGGCTGGAGCAGAGCTCACCCAAACCTGGCAGCTCTCCTGTGTGTGTTTGCATTCACTCCTGCTGATTAATAATGGAAGATAAATCAGGAGCACTGAAAACAAAGGTCAGAAACGAGGGAGATTTGCTGCCTTCTTCCTCCCAGGGTGTTTATTCTCTGGTGTTTTCTCATTTATAATGCACATGCCTCACCTTTCCTCTATGTGCAGCTTTACCTGGGGGCAGGAAAGGGATTCTGAGCTTTCTTCTCACAGCCCCATTGATTTCCACATGGCCTCCCCTTCCCAGCAGGAAATAAACTGCATCCTGGACAGTTTCCAAAGGGAGTTACGGAGGCAGGTGCTGAAACTGCTGAGAGCACTGATCACCCTGGGAAACCCTCAGAGATGGGGCTGTGTGCTGACGGCAAATCCTCCTCCTGTCGTGGCTGGGGGAGCCCTGACAGGTGAATGTAGGGGGATACAGTAGGGGTGATATAAAATGTAATCCTATCCCCTAAAGAGTTGCAGCTGAGCCAATTACTAAAGATTGGAAGCAGGCCTGATGTTAACAGGCCACACCTGTACCCAATAAGAGCAGCGTTATAAAAGAGTGGATTGGTGGGATCTGGAGTCAGTTGGCTGCTGTGAGGACCAGGAATAGTCAGTGCTTAGAGGAGCTGCCTGTGAGAAACATGGAGGAGGTATGAAACTCTGGTGGTACGGAATCCTTGCACTATAATGATAATAGAACTCTTGATATATAAGACAACAGGTGAAGGTTTTGCTTTCTTGGACATCTCTTCTCCTTTCAGCCCTGGAACATTCTGCCCCCACCAGCCCTGCATCAATACCCAGAGGTTGCCTCACATGGCAGTTTCAGCAAGCATTTTTCTTCACTTATTTTAAGAGCCTAAATGAGAGATGTGGGACTCCAGAGGCTCTCCAAAATGCAGTTTATTGTATCCAAGATGTCACAACAGTCCAGGGTTGTGGGTGACAGAGCCTGTGCATGCAGCTGTCAGCTCCAGCTGCAGGCAGGCCTGGAGACCCTTTGGTTTTGGTTACAATGCATTATAGACTTTTCTTTGCTGAGCAACTTCATACATTATCAACCAATCTATACCTTAACTGTTATCTATAGCCTATCATGACTACTGTAATTACCATATTCATGTTACTGTTCTCCAGTCACTCAAAGTTAGTGCATTACAGTTTAAGCTAGAAGCTGTTTTTCAGTTTTCTTGCAGTGGAAAATTCTGAGACCTTTTTTCTGCTTGCACCATTTGCTGCCTTGTTTGCCTGTGCTATCTTTGTGCTTGGTAAAAACATCTTGTTTGGGGTGGGTTTATCCTTTGCTCTAAGCCATAAAACCCCTTCTAACTAACACACCCTTTGCCTCCTTGGTTATCCAGTGAGACTGGCTCAGCAATTCTTTCCTTCTAGATCAAAACTTGCTTCCAACTCTATTCCTTCATCAGACTCCACATTTAAAAATCTTTCTGCTAAGCATACATATCTGTGAGACTTTCTTGTCAAACTTTCATCCTTCCCAACAACTTATTTCTCCCCTTATGAATGAATGAAAACTTTTTGTGTTGTTCTTCCTTCCCTCTCTATGGGACTATGAGATGTGGTCAGACACTTTGCAACCAACATTTAGGAACACAGATCACCCATTCCTGGTGTGATGAGCTCTGACATCCCTCACCTGGGTTTCTTTTTTAATTCCATTTCTTATTCTCCAGTGGCAACACTCCCATTGCTGTGTGGGGAACTCACCTGGACCTCATCCAAAACCCCCAGATCCGGGCAAAGCACGGTGGAAAGGAGCATGTCAATGTGAGTATGACTGCAGAGCTGGACTATTGGTAATATTCCAATAGGACCGGACATGCCACGCTGGAGACAGGGCCTGGCTGACACCTCTGGAGCTTGAAATCTCCTATTGCAGCCCAAAAAAGAGGGCATGGTTTGATTCCAGAAATATTACCCCATCCCTGAAGGACACACACAGAAAAAAAGGTTTTTGGCAGGGCTGGAACCAAACTTCAGGGTCTTCTGAGACCTTCACCTTTGTTTTTGCTTCTCCAGCTTGCTGGGATTAATTTCAGGTAACCTGATATCCAAACTGAGCATAACTGAGCATGCACTGCACAAACACTTTTGGAAAAACAACCAGAGTGAGAGACCTGATTGCAAGGTGGCAGCAAGGTTTTTACTAATCTGTGCTGTGCAAAAAATAAGGGAAGAATCTTCTATTTCCAGAAGGAAACAAAGTCGGGGAAGATTCTGATGCTGGCAACAGAGTCTGAGCTCTCTCAAGAGGCACAGGAGGCCCTGTTGCAGTGCAAACTGCTCCATACACCTGCCCCAGCAAGGCTTTCCTAACCTTGATTGTGTGGTGGGGAATAAGATAAAAATAACCCATGGGAGTCTGCTCCTCCCTCTCCCTGAGATCCGTCTGCCCACCAGGAAGGGTGGGGGCATTTCCATAAACACTCCTTGGTTTGTGTCTCCTTCCCCAGAACTGTGAGGTGCAGCACATATATGACCTTCCGGGGTCCCTATTTCCCTAAATACTCCTTGTTTTGGGTCTCTTTACCCAGAACTGTGAGATGCAGAACAGCACAGAGATGACCTGCCAGGGTCCCTATTCCCATTAATATTTTGTGTCTCTTTCCCCAGAACTGTGAGGTGCAGCACAGCGATGACCTGCCAGGGTCCCTATTCCCATAAACATTCAGTGTTTTTGGTTTCTCTTTCCCCAGAACTGTGAGGTGCAGAACAGCACAGAGATCACTTCCCAGGGTCCCTATTCCCATAAACATTTTGGGTTTCTCTTTCCCCAGAACTGTGAGGTGCAGAACAGCACAGAGATCACTTCCCAGGGTCCCTATTCCCATAAACATTTTGGGTTTCTCTTTCCCCAGAACTGTGAGGTGCAGAACAGCACAGAGATGACCTGTCAGGCCCCAGCTCTGGCTGTGGACCCCAATCACCAGTCTGAGCTCGCCGAGCGCCCGGAGGAATTTGGCTTCATCCTTGACAATGTGCAGTCCCTGCTGATCCTCAACAAAACCAACTTCACCTACTATCCCAACCCCATCTTTGAGGTTTTCAATCCCTCAGGGATCCTGGAGCTGAAGCCTGGAAGTCCCATTATCCTGAAGGTGAGATGGGCTCCAAGGACTGGACTGAAATTCTGCCTCTCTGTGCCTGCCCGCACCCCCATAAATCATCCTGATTGCACCCCAGAAATTTCCTCTATTCTTCCATTCCAACCATATCAGAGTCACCATCAGCAAACACGAAGCACTGCCCACAATCATAACTAAAAATTATAAACCCCTGGGTGCAGCCTAAATTTGCACCCACTGCTGTTCACCAGAGACCATCTTCTACCCTTGCAATGTGGTTGATGGTGAAATATTCAACTCTGTTTCATTTCTTGTTAATTCAAGACCTTCCTCTTCCCTTTGTTTTAACCCAAATCAGTCCCTTGAAATTTCTGTAAGCTTCACAGCAGTACAGAGAAGGAATTTTATGATGCAGCATTTCTGTATCACTATTTTTACACTGTGAATATGCAAAGAGGTTGTTTTACCTGCAGATACTTTTTACATGTTTGGAAAGGGGTCTGACTTGCTTGCCTGCCTATGCTTAGTGAGGGCTTTATCGTGCAGGACTTAGATGGAGCATTTCCCACTCAGCTGCAGAGAGGGAGGAGCAGGACAGGCTGTTGTGACTGCTTTGAGTCTGTGACCACTCATGCTGTTCTCTGCGTGAGTTCCTAAATTGGCTTTTCCTCTCTGTGTGAGCAAATGGCAAGCTACAAATGTCATAATGGAATCATATTTAGCTTGGAAGGGACCTTAAAGACCATCTCATTCCAACCCCCTGCCATGGGCAGGGACACTTTCCATTAGACCAGGTTGCTCCAAGCCCCATCCATCCAACCTGGCCTGGAGCAGTGATCCCATCAAATGCAGTATCAACACTTGCATCCCAAGAATGAACCAGAGGGGGAAAGAGAACTCTTTCCTGGTGTTTATTTGGTTATTTTGGGGTGTGATGTTCCTCTCTGTGCAGGGCAGGAATCTGATCCCACCTGTGGCAGGAGGCAACGCCAGGCTGAACTACACCGTGCTGGTGGGGGAGAAGCCCTGTGCGGTGACCGTGTCAGACGTGCAGCTCCTCTGTGAGTCCCCAAACCTCATTGGGAGGCACAAGGTGATGGTAAGTGATGCCTGACCCCCAGCCCCTTCTCCCTGGGTGGTTTGAGAGGGCACAGCAGAGCTGGAGAGCTGGCAGAGGGCTCCAAGGGGTTTGCATCACTGCTTGAGTTCCCAGAAACATCAAGACCCCTTCTTCATATAGTATTCTCATCAAGGGTAACTTGGAGAGGTACAACAATGGAAAAGTGACCTGGAGGTCTTTGTGGGCAGTGAGACACTTTTCATGATCAAACCCCAGTAGGGGAGTTTGCCTCTCTTCTGTTTTTGTATGGGCTGTATGAACCTTGAATTCTCATGTGAGATCACGTGTAACATGTTCCTACAGGAAAGTGTTAAATTCAGCACAGTCCCCATCACTTTGTTGACAGGATGGTGACTAAAATTTGCCTTTATGTAAGAGAGAAAAAAAACCAAAAAAACAGCATGTGGACAGTAGTGTGACTGGACTCCAGAATTTTGAGTTCTATAAAACTCAGTGTGCTCCTACAAATCCTTCCTGGATGAAGAATGGACCTGGTGATTACATCAGAGGGAGCTTCTCCTCCTCTCACTGTTTATTTATTTACTCCTTTTTTTTCACTTTCCTCTCAATAATTTGAATTCCTTGATGCTGGTGCTTGATAAACATCATATCAGCAAACACCCTGGAGTTGTACCAAGCTGTGGGTGGGAACAACAAAAGCTGACAACTGACATCAGTGTTTCTCGTTCCTTGTGAACAACTGTTCTTCTGTTGTGCCTCCCAAAGCTGTATCTGTCACATATTAATTTATTTATTTATTTCAGTGCAATGAGACTCAGAGAGTTTGATCTTTAAAAAGATTTTTCTGGGAACTTTGAAGAAAGCAGAGCTCATGATGACCATTCTGGGTCTTGTTTGTGGCTGCTGCTGGGATCCCTTGTAGTGGCTACTTAACTTCTCTGTGCCAAAGTTTGTCATCTGGAAAATAGAGGCAATAATCCTCTCCAGCCATGCAAATACACCATGACTCTCGATTCATTGCAAAGCACATTAAGACTCTCCAAGAAGAGCAATAATGAAGTGAGAGATTTTCTCTGTGTGAAAACCAAAGCTTTTGAGCATGGCAATAAATGTTCCCTGTAATTTTCATGGATATGATTAAACATATGGTTAGTCAGAGACGGACAAAGCCAATCCTGGGGAGACAAAACTCAAAGCTAGGTGAGCAATAATCAACCCCTGGGGATCCAGGATGATGGCATCTGGCCAGGCTGCACTAATTGGGAAGACTCCCCTGCTCCTGCAGCTTTGGACAGTTTAAGTGAAGCAAAGATTAAAAAACAATCCCTTTTTGATTGTTTTTTATTTTGATGCTGGTGAAATGAGGGATACTGCTGGGAAACTGGGAAGATGATGGTGGTGCTCAAGGATGGACTTTGCATCTGGAACCAGGGCTGGAAAATGCCTCCTCCAGCATGGCACAGCATCTCTGCTGCTCAGGCTGGGACCACGTTTCACACAAACTGATGCCTCACGTTTTAGCTTTTCTATTTTTCACATTCTGTGCTGCTTTAGTGTGTGGGTCTGGGCTTCATATGGGATGGTGAGCTCTGTGCCCAGAGCAGGGAGACAAAACAATTCCTGCTCCAGCTGGGCACCAAGGACAAATGCCCCAAATCTCAGCCCAGGAGCACAAACCCCGTGGGCTGCAGAGAGAAAAACAAGCAGGGTGGGACTGCCTGGGCTGAAGCTGGGATGGGACAATGAACTGCAAGGGGCAAATGGAGCAGAGCTGATCCCAGGGAGAGACCTCGGGAGCGCTCGTGCATTTTGGGGCCATTTTGGTTCATCTTGGGTGCAGCCCTGGCTGGGCTCTGGTGCTGCCCAAGGTGCATCCATGGAGGAGATCCTGTGAATAAATCCCTGCTTTATTCTGCCCAGCTTCTGCTCTAGCTCAGCCTTCTTAACGCATCAAATCATCTTTCTGAGGCCCTGGATAACTGATAGAAGTTCCTCCTCCTGATTTTGCCAAAAATTTACTCTCTGACCTTGAGGAAATTGTTGAACAAACCATTTCTTGCAAAGTGAGGTGGCATAAACTGAGAGGGAGCCATGGGAATGAATCAACTGGTGCAACACAGAGATTATTTCTAAGTGAAGGAGCAGTGGCAATGACACACGTTGATGTCAACACGCTTTTGATCTGTCTTCTTTTGAGCTGTCTTTTACACAATGACAGAGTTAAGTGTTTGAAAAAAAATAGCGAGGAAATAAAAGGTTTGGGTGATGGTTAAAAAGAAGATTGACTAAAACCCAGAGGCAAGTATTTCCAAGGAAAAGAAAGAGATGTGAGAAAAATCCACGAGTGGCTACGCCAGAGAAGGTCTGGAGGGAAAATGTGGAACACATCTGAAGGTTTGCTGGTTTCTGACACAGCCTGGAAAGTACACCAGACTCTGTATAATGAATGGAGAGATGGTCAAATGCAGCAGCTGAAGGTCAGGGCATGATTCATTTCATCCTTAGAGGGATAATTTTATTTGCACCAGGAAAGATGCTCCTTCAGAACTCCTGAACTCCTACAGGTGGCCACTAAGACTTCATTGGAGAAAACATTTAGAACATTTAGTCTAATTTAAGACAAATTCATTATTAATAGTCTTTAAAAATGGCCAGATTGTTGTTCTTTGGTGGGTTCATGGTCAGTCTTCGGGAAGGTAAAATGCGCTTCCTCCAGAGCAACTTGATGGATTAAGAAGTAAAGGACAGCTGTATGTGCATATTTTCTTGTGTTTCTTTTAAAAGCTCACAATAACACTGCAGCCTCATAGGCTTTCTTCTTCAAGAGCCAGATTCCCTCAGATCATGGCAGCTTCACTTGTGGACTGTGAGACCTTCCCAGTGATGAAACCACCTTTGAAGGGGAACACACTGGGCCTGACTTTGAACATCTGCTTTTTTGGAGCTTAGATCCCCTTGTCATGAATGGAGAGAAATGGGAACTTCCACTCAATGAAATGCCTCATCCCAATGTCAAAAGTGTCGGGAGCAGCTCACATAAATCACATCCTGAAAGTGTTTTTTCTCTTTGTTGGCTCTGGAATCATGCTGCAGTGTTGAACTCGGATGAGCACGCGGAATATTTGGTGAGAGAAATGCCACCCATGGAGAGGGGCTGCTCTTCCAGCTTTGAGGATGGATCTGCACTGGGATTTGGGATTGGGGTTGTCTGAGTCTAGTCTGATATTCCTTGAATGGACTCGTCTGACTGCAGGGCTTGGAGAAGGAGAAAATTGGAAAGAATTAAGCAATTTATTGATCCACTGACAGGAAGGAAAGTGTGCGAGCTGTGAGAAAATTTTGGGACAGTGGTCTAAGGCAAAAGGGAGGAACTTGCAGTGCGTGGATTAGGATGTGATTTTGGCAGTTTGCCTTCCCAGTTGAGCAGGCCACATTCCAACAACAAAACTCAGGATTTATAAGTGAGTTTGACCCTCCATCTTGAAATAGATGGGAAAACTCATTACTGCTGCATCCCAACTGTGTGTCTGAGGTTCTTTGGCCACTGAAAATGCTCTACCAAGCCCTTAGTATCATGGTAGCAATTGGTCATCTTGAAACTGTTACGTTTGAAGATGAGTTTAAGATTGGCTTTGTTTTTCATTGTGGACATTTCATCTCTCCAGTCCCCTCCCAAAATGGCATGAGCGGGATGGATGGAAATTAGCAGTTTTTAGACATTCACTTTGGTCTTGTCCATGACATGAGGGTTGTAGTTGTGTCTCTTTGGCCACTGAGGAGCAGCCTACGCCTGGTGGTAAAGCAAAACAACCTTCTTCCCTGAGGCTGAAACAACATCTAGGAGTGATAAAGTCACTGAGATTCAAGTCCCCAAAAAGGGTTGCAGTGGAGAGCACCTGGGAAAATTCATTAATTCATGATTCTGCTCTGTAGTCCCTTCTGCTGGCTCCAGCTGGCCCAGTTTCTTCCTCTGCAGCCTCGAGAGGAAACCTGAGTAGGTGCCTGAGCTGAGATGGGGGAAGCCCTGGGATTAGTAAATGCAGGTAGGCTGGAGATTAACTGAGAGCCAGTGGGATGCAGGACAAGGCTGAACACCAGGCTGGGGTGTGGGGGAGAAACGTGAGGAAATGTAAGGGAGAGCTCCTCACAATGGAGGAAGAAAACAGTTTAATTCCACACTGCAGTGGTCCCAGGTGCAATGGGAGCAGGAAACAGCCATTCCTGGGGTCTTAATTGCATTTCTGCCTGGCAATAAGAGATTGCCCTTTGTGCAGGGCCAGCTGTGCCTCTCTGTGACACAGCTCAGCTGGGGTGAAGTGATGGAGCTCATCATCCTTCAAGCTCTTTGCATGGCACCTTCCCAGCTTTCTGCTGACCTACAACCAGCATTGCCAAAGCACAATACAGACCTAGAAGCCTTTTTGTACTTCAGTCCAGCCAGAACAGCTTTTCTACCACCACTCAAGCTTTGCCTACTCTACAAATAGCTTTGAACAGCCTTGCAGCAGCCTAAAGCCAGTGGTATCCTGTGGGATTCCTGCTGGGAGTGGTGTTCATGTTGTAAAAAAGGGCTCTAAGGGACTTGCTTCAGCAGAACATTTTGCTCAGAACAGGAGTGCTTGCAGGGTTTCTTTCTTTCTTGGTTGTTAAAACCAAGGCCCTTTCACAGGTACTTCTTCCAGAGGCTGGAAGCAGCTATGGAAACCTCTGGAAGTAGATGGAGAACAAAAAGCTGTGTTCAGCTCCTACTGGTGCACATCTGCAGTCACCCTGACAATGTGTGGCTAAGACAGGGGCCGTAAAGGGAATGGGCCAGGCTTTGTGGGGTTTGTGGTGGATCTTCACTATCCCAGAGGCTCCCAAGTAGAGTTTTATCTGGTGGGAGAGTCAAAAGAAAATAGTGACTCTGATTTCTGCAGTCCCACTATACTCAATGGGTCAGCTCTCCTCTGCCCCATTGTGGGGTTAGGACCCATCAAACCACAATTTGAGCTCTGTTTTCTGTGTGTATTTTGGGCCTGAGTGACATCAGTGCCCCACACAACACATCAAGATGGGGTATGAAAAGTCCAGAATGAAACCCAAACTGGTTTGGAGAAATTGTGACTGGTGACTTATCTCACCACAAATCCTTTTGTGGCTGGGTTCATGATGACTCCCAACAGAGGTGATTCTATCATTTCAAGTGTTTTTAAGCTATTCCATATCCAAATACCTCCCTTTTGGCTTGGGAGACAAGGGGCTGTCACCATTCACCTTCAGCCAGAGGGTGACAGAGCTCCTCTGTGCTCCTGCTCAGTTTGACAGTCTCTTTGCTGCTTTCCCTCTAGGCTCGTGTAGGAGGGATGGAGTTCTCCCCAGGGATGGTGTACATCTCCCCAGACAGCCCTCTGAGCTTGCCAGCCATCGTCAGCATCGCGGTGGCCGGCGGACTGCTCATCATCTTCATCGTGGCCGTGCTCATCGCCTACAAGCGCAAGTCCCGGGAGAGCGACCTCACCCTCAAGCGCCTGCAGATGCAGATGGACAACCTGGAGTCCAGGGTGGCCCTGGAGTGCAAAGAAGGTAGGCTGAGGGAGGCATGATGTGTCAGTGTTGGTAGAAGGGAGACATCAGTCATAAAGCTTTGAGCCAAAATCACAGTGTTGAACCACGGTGTTGAACCCTGTGGGTGCGGCTCAGGCCTGGATCTAATCTGACATTCCTTGTTTTCACTTAGTTCAGACTTTCTCCACCCTATCCTAGAGTTCAGGAAAGTTCAGACTTTCTCTCACCCAATCCTCTCCTAACTGGACTTGATAATTCAAAATCCACAGAAAGCCTTGGCACACGTCCCTGGGGAATGGTGACCCTGCTCTCATCCACCTTCTTCCTCTCCACATGTTGCCTTATTCCTTATTCTCAGTCATGAGGGTCAGGGGTTTTTCCCATTCTGGTGAGGCTGATCTGCATTTTCACTGCTCCCTGAGTTGTTCTGTTTTTGTGCCAGCCTTTGCAGAGCTGCAGACAGACATCCATGAGCTGACAAGTGACCTGGATGGAGCTGGGATCCCTTTCCTCGATTACCGAACCTACACGATGAGAGTGCTTTTCCCTGGCATTGAAGATCATCCAGTCCTGAGGGATTTGGAGGTAAAACAACATTTCCTGCTTCTAGCTTCTCTCATGCCTCCCTGTTCAGTCCTAAATTCCAGAGATTCTGTGTCAGTGGTGGGGATGTGATGATTTGATTATGCTGTGTCCTACAAGGGGTGAAACAGGTCCTCATTAAAAATCTGGATTGAAAGAGGAAAAGTTTGCTGTTATTTTAGATCATATTAGATCATAAAATCATTTAGGTTGTAAAAGACCTCCAAGACCATCTGTTCCAATCATCAACCTAAAGCTGTCAATTCCTTCACTAAGTCATGTCCCCCTCTGTGACATCCACACACTTTTTGAAAACCTCTAGGGATTGTGATCCCAGAACTCCCCTAGACAGCTTGTTACACCATGTTTCATCCTTTCAATTAAGAAATTTTTGCAATTTCCAATCTAAACCTCCCCTGGCACAACTTTAAGGCTGTTTCCTCTCATCCTGTCACTTGTTACCTGCTAAATTCTGTCTGATCACTCCCTTATTTGGAAAACTCATAAATCATAGGTTTACTCAATTAAGCTTCTCTTTGGTCTTAACCCTTCTGTGGCTTGAGTTTTTGATTGGATTCAATATTTTCTGCCATGCAGGGGCAAGGAAAACCTGTTGTGTGACAGAGGAGCATGTTTGCCTGTGCCATCCAGCTTTTCATGACCCTCACACTACTATGAGGCCAGGTTTTCTTTATGGCAACCCCTATAAAAATAACCCACCCCTATAAAAATAACCCACTCCTATAAAAATAACCCACCCCTATAAAAATAACCCTCTGCCACTGAGGGAGGTTCACCTTTGCTGCATTCTGGTTTTCAGTGAGGTCAGAAAACACAGTGTCAGTCTGTCCATACACTGCCCACATCTTCCTCCTCCACCCCAACGTTCTGGATGGAGATTTGTGAGACATTGTTCACAAATCTTTGGGTCTACACAGAGCCTGTATCACCTGAGTGGTGACAGGAGCTTGGTGGCAGCCCAGGTGAGGTCTGCCAGGCTAAAATCTGCTCCAGGCTTAGGCAGATGGACAGGCTCTGCTCTAGGAATACCTGGGCTGGAGAATCAGGAGCGACACCACGGCCAAGGTGTTGGCTGAGCTCTCTGCAAAGCCTTTGGCAGGCTCTGAGCTCCAGAGAGGTTCTGGCATAGGCCTGGGAGATTGCTGGAGGCCAGGCCTGGGCTTGGTTGGCAGGGAGGAGGAGCAGGAGCTGGCACAGGCAGGCCCACGCTTGGCTGGCTGTGTAATCAGAGATGCCTGCTCGCCTTTGCTCCTGCCATGGCGAAGAGCCAAAATTCATCCACTGTGTGGAGAGAGACATTAAAAAACCTGATCTGTCAGCAAGGAGGGCTTGTGGGGCTGGGCAGGAGGCTGAGTTACACGTAGCTACCATACAGATTTGGAGTGCCGGTTGAGGGGCTTCCAGCCGCTTTCCCTCAGGACGAGCAGCTCCAACAAAGGAGGAACGGGGGGTGCTGAACCTCCCTCTCACATGTGTGTACACACAAACATTTCCAGCATCCCTACAGCCAATTTCCATCCCTACATTCATTAACCCCATCCAGCTGATCACAGAGCAGCATCTGACCCCTGCAGAGGCCTTAGCACGGATGCTCCCCTATGTAGATACACACTGAGCTAATGTTCCAATCCAGCACCTTTGATCTCTCCTTCCTTTCATTCCATTTGTTGAGTTTTTTTTTTTTTCCCTTAATCCTTTGTAAAGCTTCACCAGCTCTCTCTGTGTCAGCATCTTTGGCTACCAACGTGAAGGCAGCTCCCATTCTCCTCCCTTCTCTGTAGCACCCAGAAGGAATTGCTATTTATTGCAAAAGGCCCCAGCACAGATCCCACAGTGAGAAGGCCTTACTTATTTCCAGTTCATTTGCTAATTAACTGCTTCCAGATGCAGCACAAAATACTTTTCTTGTTATTTTGTTTTAATTCTCCATAATAACCCTGGGATAGACAATATTAAATGTTCAAGTGAGTGAGTTAAAAATAATTATTGGCAGGATGGGTGGTGGTGGTTTTTTGGTTGGTTGGTTGCCTCAATCTATTTAGGAAGTAATTTATTTGTTGGATGCAAAAAGAGTTCAGAACTCTAATTTCCAGAATTAAAAAGTAACAACTCTATAAGAGGCCTTGCATTGCTTGTCTGTTTAAGCAAGCCAACTTATTTTGAATTAAAGTGCCAAATTTGGGTGGTTATTAATTCACATATGCCTTGGTGACATGTGCTGCTCTGTGGTGAGACCCTCCAGCTTCCAATAAAAGTTTTCAAGGGCTGGAACAGCTTCAGCAAGTGGAGGGATGAGTTTGGGGTTCTCTATTTAGGTTCCATCTTTGCCTAGAGCCAGAAGGATCAAAAAGACCTGTGTGGAGCCCAAGGTCCAGCACTGAGGTCCATATAATTTGTTCCATATAAAAATGAGTTCATCGGTCTCTCACAGCTGAGAAATAAGAGACTTATCAATCACTCTGTCTTCAAAACAGCTCAGCTCCCAAGCCCAGGGGTTCTGCTGGAGCTCAGGGTGTCCTCTCACACTTTCACCTGCCCGGCTCTTCAAACCAAGGCCCAGTTCTATGGTCACCATCTCAGCCACTGCCTCACTGCCTCTCTTCATCTCCTTAAAACCTCACACTGGGCTCTCTTTAACATTCACTCTCTTGCTGCCTCTCCCAGCTCCCTAAAGCTGAACCCCACACCCCTGCAAGCAGGATTCTTCCAGGAATGAGAAAGAAGTTTTGCATGAAATCAGAGTAAGACTTCAGCCTGACTAAAATAAAAATATAATGTGGCATGACGACACATTCAGGCACCAGAAATCCCTTTTGGGTGCATTGAAAGCCCTTGAAAACGTTTCTTGGAAGCTGGAGGGTCTCACCACAGAGCAACACATGTCACCAAGGCATATATGAATTAATAACCACCCAAATTTGGCATTTTAACACAAGCTGGCCCCTGGCTGGGTAATAATTAGCATGGACTCCATGCATTTCAGAAGGCTCATGATAAAAATCTTTATTAAGAAACACATACTTTTATACCCTAGTTCACTACAGGTAGACCTAATTTGTCCTCTAATTAAAACAGCATCACCACTGGCTAATTAAGAAACCACCCTTTGGTAAACAGATCTCCATAACACATTCCACACATTCACAATACCAGGTGCACCAACTGAAGATAAGAATTGTTTCTCATTCTTTTCTCTGCTCTTCTCACAGCCTTTCCCAGAACAATTCCTGGGAAAGTTGTGTTTCTCTCTGTGGCCAGAGAGCTGCTGCCACAGGTGTTCTAATCAGAGAGGGGAACACAGGACTGGAAACATCATCTGAACGTGGCTGGGAGTCTTCTCAGACTTCCTAATCTTTAGATGATGTATGGATTCCCTTCCTGTCTTTCCTTAGTGGAGAAGCTGGAGGGATGAGAGCAAAGAGAGAGTAACAACAGTACATTTGACAGTGGGAAAATGAGGGAAAGGGAAAAACTCCTGTTGGGACCCAGGACATCCCTCTGGCTGCCCTGGAGGACTCAAGACCCTGGCAGGGGCTCAGAGACCTTGGCACAGAGTCACAAACACCCGTGCCTTTGATTTTAGCCCATGGAAACAATTACCAACTTTGTGTGAGGCGTTACAAGCCACAAGAGTTTGAGTAGAATGATAGTGAATTTGTCACAGGGTGCAAAAGTAGAATTTTGGGGATTTAGAATGGGGGTTCAAGAGGCAAGATGGAGGAATCTGGGCTTCTCCTTCTTCTTCTTAGCCTCCATCTTCTACTGTGATGGTGGCACTTCTGGATTGGTTTAGAGACAGACTGTCTAACGTAGGTGATAGGTATTGGAAAATTATTGTAAATAAAGCACACGTAGTTCTTGGTATAAAAAGCAAACACCACCCCAAGGGCAGGGACTGTGCCACAATCCGACCTGCTGGACAGATCTCAGCAGGTCAGAAAAAGAACGTAATAGAAAAGAAAAATAAAGAAGAAAATTAAAAATAACTTTGAAAACCAGAGCTGAGGAATGCCGACTTCTTCTTCGGTCACGGGGCTGTGAAAAATACTTTTAATACCTCAGGAGCCATTCCAGCAACACAAAACCCAAGAAAACTCCCTTTCTTCTTGCTCAGGTCCCTGGCTACCGTCAGGAGCGGGTGGAGAAGGGCCTGAAGCTCTTTGCCCAGCTCATCAACAACAAGGTGTTCCTGCTGTCGTTCATCCGCACGCTGGAGTCGCAGCGCAGCTTCTCCATGCGCGACCGCGGCAACGTGGCCTCGCTGATCATGACGGTGCTGCAGAGCAAGCTGGAGTACGCCACCGACGTCCTCAAACAGCTCCTGGCTGACCTCATTGACAAGAACCTGGAAAGCAAGAACCACCCCAAGCTGCTGCTCCGGAGGTAAGGATGGCTGGGCATGGAGGGAGCAGGGCTGGGAGGGCTGTGCCTGTGTTGGGGTTTTTCATGAACAGGCTGGGAGTGCTGGGAGATGTTCTTTGAGCTTTATTGCAGCATCATTACATTTTTGAGACAATTGGAAGATGGCAACAGCTGATGTACAACCAGCAGGAGCCAAAGATTTCTTTGTGTCTTGGTTTGAAAAGACTGTCTGCTAAGGAAGGCAGGAGCCTCCCCTGAAATGGAAAATGCAAACCTCCTCCCTCCAAATAATTATAGTTTTGAAATTAAGAGGCTCTCAGGCAAGGATATGGGAATAGGAATTACAGTTCTTTATTAGGAAAATTAAAAATACAAATGCAATAGTACAAAAAAGAGAACAACCCACAGGCAGGGTGAGAGCAGGAGCTGCCCCCTGTGTGCCAGGGCGGTGTCCCAGCCCCATCCCATGGGGGCTCAGCCCTCCTGCAGTGCCAGCTGTGGCTCTGCTGCAGCAGGGATCCTGCACAAGGGGGGAGTTTTCCTCTGCAGCCCCAGGGCTGCTGCAGATGGGCCTGGGCTCCCTCTGGCCATGCAGGGCAGCAGAAAGCTGCTCCTCTGGGAATGCAGGGGGCAAAGGCTGCTGTGCTGTGCCAGGCCCAGATTGGATCCAGGTAGGAATGCTTGGCTCCTCCCCTGGGCAGAGCATCTCCCCATGGGATGCTGGGATTGGATCAGCCCTGCAGGGACACTCAGTGGCCATGGACAGCAGAGATCTCCTGGAGGGAGGGTTGGCTGTGGCAGAGATAAAGAAAACTGCCCCACCTCTGACAGATAAGAATAAAATACTCCATGTCCAACCTAAGACACTTTGTTACAGAGCATTTTAAAAACTCTCTAGCCAATAGCATATTGCTAAAGCTTGCATACAATTTTTCTAGCCAGTTACTAAAAGCACACGTACACCTGCTTCACACATGCTTGCTTGTATGCGTTCTATTAGCAGTACACAATTAAGCTTAAAACCTTCTACCTAAACCATTATTAAGCTTAAAACCTTCTACTATCTTGCTGAGCATATTTTTCTGCAGCCTTAAGGTCTATCTTAGACAAGCCTATAACTCAAGCTATTGTTTCATGTCCTTGCTTGCTGTACTATTGAAACTTTTTCTACTTTCAGACTTTGCAGCTGCAGCTAGATCTAAGTTTCTGTTCTTTCTGTTTCTAAGTCCTGCTTTTACAGAAGTCTTCTTACCTTTAGTATTTCCCACAATGCCCACATAAACATCAAAATCATCTTTGGAGATGATTGCTCTGTCTCCTCCCTAACCAGAAAGTAATCAATGATCAAAATTTACAGAATGAATCCACCTCTGGATTTTCATGTGGATCCTCAGAAAGTTCCATAAGGACAGAAAAAGCTCAATCCTTATTTTGGGCTCTTTGTATGCTTAAAATGTTAATTTATGCTTACATTTCCTTTTAATCTGAAAACTCTGATCATGTTGTGTATAGGAATATCACATATATGGTCTATTAAATCCCTGGTGAGAGGATGTCATCTTCCATCTCCTGCCTGGGACAGTGATTTCCCAGCTTTGTTTCTTGTTCCTGAGTTAACTACAGACACCTGGAGAGTCTTCAGCTGCATTTCGGGATCTCATTTCTCTCCCAGAGCTGGGAGTTAGTGTAAATCAGCAGAAGAGAGAGACAACAGAACTGGATTCATACAGGGAACAAGTTTGAATTGATGCTTCTTGGCCTGGCCTAAGGTCTAAACTCCACACTTCTGGGGGAAGCCTCAAGTTTGGAATCTACTGCTCTGTACTTAAAGCCCTTTCCTTGCCTAGGGAAGTGCTCCCTCTTCTGCCTTTAGGATCAGATTCATCTCCCTTTCACAGACTGGACCAACCCTCCTGGTTCAAGGACCCTACATAAAATAAGGGGGGGTTTCTGGGGATGAGTGGCCTTTGCCACAGCTCAGAGCTGACTCTGAGGAGCCCCCAGATGATTACAATGGACAGCTTGGACCCAGAGGAGATCTCTGGTGCCTGCTGGGCTGGGGGGATTTTTCATCTGGCACATGGCCCACTGTGCAGAACCAGCAGAAAAGGAGCAGAAGGCACTTGCTGGTATTCAGGGCAGCAATGCCAGGGGCAGAGGCTTTGCTTTGGTGTCAGTTGACTTTCTGATGTGATCAAGCCCTAGAGCCTGGCTGGTGACCACCCTCCGGCTGTCCCCAGACATCCTGCCTGTGCTTCTTTCCTGATGCTGGATGGCACAGCCTTCCCCCTTCATTTCCTCCTTTTCCTTCCCTTTTCTCCATCTCTTTGTCTTAGATTCTTGCTCACTCTGAGCATCCCATCTTTTCTCTTCTTCCTTCCTCCAGCCCTTTTCTAAGTCTAATCCTCTTTGCTGGACACTAATTGTGGTCTTTGGAATGAGAGCCAGTGAACAAAGAAGGCACGTCCAGTGCTCCAAACCCTGGGAGCACCAGGAGAAGTCAGAGAAGTTCTGCACTGAGCAGCACCAGAGCAGAACACGTGAATAGCTCAGTGCCTTGGGTCAGATGTTGGTGTGAGGTCCTCAGACAGCTCTTTGGATTTAACTTGGTGCTTCCCTTCTCTCCCCATGAGTCTATGAAAGGGAGTCTTTTGCAGTTTTGGAGGAGTTTGACAGAAGAAAGGAGCTGGTAGAAGTGGTTTTCCCACCTCACCTGTGTCCAGTGTTCACCCTGCATGACATTTATGGCCCCAAAAAGGTTTTCTGTACAGGAGCAGCAGCAACAACAAACAAGAACCTCTGCATGGCTTTGATGAGAGCCATGACAAGGAGGACCCACTTTAATTCTTCCAGGCAGGGATTCTTCTTCTTTCTTGGTTTCCCCAAATTTCTCTTGTTTTTTTTCTCCATCTCCTGCCTGGGACATGGATTTCCCAGCTTTGCCTCTTGTTCCTGAGTTAACTACAGACACCTGGAGAGTCTTCAGCTGCATTTTGGGATCTCATTTCTCTCCCATAGCTGGGAGTTAGTGGAAATCAGCAGAAGAGAGGGACAACAGTGCCTGTGCTGAAGCCAGCACAAGTTTCTGCAGGAGAAGCTCACCCTGAAGCCTGGAGATGGATTTTTGTTTGATTGAGGACGGAGTGCTCAAGGGCAGAAGGATGAGCTCTGTGCGTGTGCTACAGTGACACATTGAGGAGTGTAATCACTCCCAAATGCCAGGGAGATAGGCAGTGCCAGATAACTGCTCCCCAGAGACTTAGATCTGTCTCTCCTGAGTATTTATCCAGCCTCCTTGACATATGGCCTCACTCTGAGCTCCTCAGATTTGATGGATTTATCCGTCCTGAGCTCTTTGGAGAAGATTCCCTCAAATGTCATCAACTCCTTCTCGTTGTTGGAGACACTGGAAAACAGACACACACAGGGACTTGTAGCCACAGGAGAGTCAACAGGGCAGCAAGGGTTTTCCTGCAAGTTTCCTAAATCCAAAACTAAAACAGGGAACCTAGGACGTGCTAAATCCTGATGGTGCCATGCAGGAATTCCCACTGGGCAGGAAGATGGAAAAGTGCAATATTTTGATAGGACCAGCATGACAAACTCATTTCCAATTCTCTTTTCTCTCCACTTTAGGACAGAGTCTGTGGCTGAGAAAATGCTCACCAACTGGTTCACCTTCCTCCTCTACAAGTTCCTCAAGGTAAGAGCAGGACCATACCTGGAAAAACAGCTGCTCTAAAAGCATTCCTTCTTGGTGAGGATTACTTGGGGTGAAAACTTCCCAGATGACAAGTTAAAGGCTTTTTTTTTTTTTGCCTCTGGAAGGAGGTCACTGCCTAATAGGAGCTGGGCTATTTTCCGACCCAGGGAGAACAAAGAGGGACAATTTGTTAGAGAGAGGCAACTTGTGGTCACTCTCTTGTACAGAGGTGGGATCTAAGGGTCAGTGCAGAAATGGGAAGGATTTCAGAGCCTGCCTGAGACCTGTGTGGAAAGTGCTGTCCTTTCAACAGCAGCCTGAGGTCTCCATCATGTGGTGACCCATATTTCCAGTGCACAGGGGATGGAGATCTCCTTCCACCCCAGCTCAGGTGCAGCACTGAGAGAGACACAGCCCCATGAGAAGTGGAGGGACACCCATCAGCAAAGCTTGAGTACAAGGATTTGGGGCAGCCCCTGAGCTCTCTCATTCCTCCTGGAAGGTCTCCTTGGGCTTTGTGGAGTTGAAAAAGTCTTTCAGTCTTTGAGCCCTGCCACTGACTGCACGGGAATCCAATTTTCCCTGAGCCTCAAGAATCACAATTGCCAAGCTCAGAGCCAGCCTTCATGGAAGGAGCTGAGCTCTGCACCTCTCCCCCATTCCCACTGCAGCTGCTAAATATCCTCCCACCTCACATCCTCATTTGGACACAATAACCACCTCTGCCAGGCAATTTGAGGCTGCACAAATAAACCCCAATCCTCCTGAGCCTTCCCCAGTTCAAGGACGAGCACATGGGAAAGTTTTGAAGGTCCCTGGAAGGTAATTTCAGTGACTCCAGTATCAGATCCCTGCTTTCAGCTGAAAGGAAAGGATATAAGGAGGTGACTCTCTAAAGAGCTGCTTTTATAATAGGCTTTTTTCACCCCACTCAGCTACTTGTCTTCTTGCCTTAGCCTGAACAGAGGCCTGATAAGGGCAGGAGACAGGCACACAGAAGCAATATGCTGCTGGCAGATAAGCTAATTAAGTGGGAGACAGGTGTAGGGACTGAAAAAGGGGCCACTTTGCCTCGATTATTAACTTGTTTTCGCCGGGATTTACACCAGAGGAAAATGACCTGGCTGGTTGAGCTGGGACACGAGAGGAGAGGGTGAGGAGGGCAGGAAGGAGGGAGGGATGAAGGGGAAGGAAGGCAGGAGCAGAAAGCTCGGGGTGCAGCAAGGGAGGGAAAGCGTGGGAAGAGTGAGTGGAAACGATGAGGAGGAGAAATTAGGGACAGATGAGCTGGACTGTGCCTGCCTGGGGCTGCTTTCGGCTGTCCTGTGCTGGGTCCCACACCTCTGTCACCTCCACGTGGGTTCAGGGGCACATCTGGGCCTGAGAATTCCTGTTTGCCTGCAAATTTCTGTTTGCCTGCAGCATTAGAGTGCTCAGGGAGTCTGTGGACTCTGCCCAGACACCCAGGACGTGGCACCAGCCATCCATCTCCCTTTAAAATCTCCTTCCAGGCCATTTGGGACCTATCCCACTACATGCTCCACCAGTGCAAAGCCCTGGCCTAGTGGCAATCACCAGAACAGCCCTGGCATTGTCAGGGAACACCAACACCATGACAGGACACTCAGAGAGTCACAGAATAAGCTGAGCTGGAAGGGACCCACAAGGATCATCAAATCCAACTCCTGGTGCTGCACAGGACCATCCCCAAGGGTCCCTCCATGTGTCCAAGAGCTTTGTACCATCAAGTTCAGCTCCTGGTGCTGCACAGGACCATCCCCAAGGGTCCCAAAGCTCAGAGATAACTTCTCCATGTGCTTCCATTCCCATTCATGTTGACCCCACATCCTGATGGGACACAGACTTCTTAATGACCGAACAGTGCTGGTGTCCTCTCAGTGCCCAAACAGTCCCATCCTTGAGTGACCCTGAAGCCCAAATGAAACTGGTGGGTGATGGAGCAGCATCACTGCATTTGGGAGATCCACATCACAAAACTTCCCTCGGGTGCCCAAGAGCTTTGTACCATCAAGTTTAATTCCTGGTGCTGCACAGGACCATCCCCAAGGGTTCCACCATGTCCCCAAGAGCTTTGTACCATCAAATGCAACTCCTGGAGCTGTACAGGACCATCCCCAAGGGTCCTACCATGTGCCCAAGAGCTTTGTACCATCAAGTTTAATTCCTGGGCCTGCACAAAGCCATCCTTAAGGGTCCCATCAGGTCCCCAAGAGCTTTGTACCATCAAGTCCAGCTCCTGGGCTTGCACAGGACCATCCCCAAGGGTCCCACCATGTGCCACCATTTTTACTATCAAGTTTAATTCCTGGGGCTGCACAAAGCCATCCTCAAGGGTCCCACCATGTTCCCAAGAGCTTTGTACCATCAAGTTTAATTCCTGGGGCTGCATAGGACCATCCCTAAGGGTCCCACCATGCTGGTTGCACTCTGTGGAAGTGGAGGGTCACCTCTGATCCTGTGCTGTTGGAATGGACTGGTTTCCATTGATATCCACCATGAGCCATATTGAATGGTGGACCTGGGATGCCCATGCTGGACTCTCAATTCCAGCCTGTAGTTTCACCTGGTGGTTGCCTCTCATCCCTGCAGGAGTGTGCTGGAGAGCCTCTCTTCTCCCTTTTCTGTGCCATCAAGCAGCAGATGGAGAAGGGCCCCATCGACTCCATCACGGGGGAGGCGCGGTACTCGCTGAGCGAGGACAAGCTCATCCGGCAGCAGATCGACTACAAGACCCTGGTGAGTGCTCTGGGCATGCCTTCCCCTGGGCTCATCCACAACCTTCTAAGGCCTAAAGGGCCTTTAGACAGCAGAAAGCAGTGGTTGAACCTCTGGGGTGATTTGTTCTTGTGTTTTAGTAGAGTAATACTGCCTAAGGATGGCTGTGAAAATTTTAAAATTATGAGGATTTCAGCATCAAGGAATAGTCAGAGATTGTAGATAGACCTATCAGGTCAGCTCTAGAGCTGGTGCAACCCTCCCTCCTGAGAGAGCACAAGTCAAAGAAAAAGGAGCTTGATTTAAAGATTTCAAGGGAAAGAAAACCAATCCCTGTCACTGAGCCATTTTCCCCAAAATGGAATTGTTTGCATAGGGTAAGATACACGTTGCATATGTGCAGCTTTAGCTTCTGCTCTGAGATTACACCCTCTTCCCACTTGATTAAAGAGCATCAATTAAAGAGCATTAGATATCTCTTCTTAGAGTGTTTGTGGGCCTTCTTTCTTCCCTGGATGCATTAAATCCACTCTAAGTCTCTGCTGGATGAAAAACACTTTCTAAGCCTTCAATGATCCTTGTAATTTTTCTGTTTCCTATCTTTATTCTCAGCAAATCCCAAGCTTCAGGACAGTCGGAAGATGCTCTAAACTGATCAGATTATTTTATTTGCACTTTCAAATGAGGGAAATTCATCTCACTTAGCTCCAGATACCTCTGAGGGCTGTGTCTAATCACAGAATCATGGGGTGGTTTGGGAGGGGACCCTAAAGATCATTTAGTTCCAAGTCTTAGACCTTAACCTGTCTTAGACCTGTCTTAGACTTCAGCCCAGGCAGGCTGATGCTAGAAATGCCCTTTCATGTTCTTCAACTCCAGTCTAGAGCTGAGCTTTGATTGAATCCAAGTCTGATGAGGGGGTGGACTTAATTCTTAAATAAGGCCACAGTTGTATTCTGCATATTAAAAACGTGACTTTCCTACTGAGCTGGCAGAGTGCTGCTTCTCTGCTGTTATGCGTGGCTGTCTAAAATTTCAGAAGACTGATCACACATGGAGAAAATGAGCAGAAAAGAGAAAAAAATGCAGCCACAGAGCGATCACTTTCACCCAAGGAAATCCCCCCGATCCTTTTAGGCTTGATCTGAAGCAGCCAGCAAAGGGTAGTAATTATACATCAGGCTGAACAAAGCTCTCCTCTGCTGGCTTTGTGCTGTTTGATGATAATCAGCTCTCCCTCTTACATCTCAAGAGCAGACAAATATACCCCGATAGGAATCTCAGCAGATTTACAGAGATCAGCTCTGGTGAAGGAGATTAGGAAGGAGCAGAATATGAATAGGATTGTTCTTCGTTTCTGTTTCTCTTTATTTCTGTTTTATTTCATCCTTCTTCTACCTTCCTTGAGCTGCCTGACATCTTTTATTAAAAATATAGAGTAATGAAATAAAGCCAGAACTGATTCAGTGGTTGCAATATGGGAATTCCAACAGAAAAATGGAGAGAGAATATTTACAGAGGCCTGGAGTGACAAGACAAGAGGGAATGATTTCAAACTGAAAGAGAGTAGGTTTAGACTGGAAATCAGAGAAAAAATTCTAGCCTGTAAGATGGGGAGGCCCTGGCACAGGGTGTCCAGAGAAGCTGTGGCTGCCCCTGGATCCCTGGGAATGTCCCAGGCCAGGTTGGATGGGGTTTGGAGCACCCTGGGATAGTGGAAGGTGTCCCTGCCACCTTGGATTACTTCCTTACCATGGGAGTAATCACAAGCTGTGCCTTTATTATTTAAACGCCACTAATGTGCAGTGGAAATCAGGGCTTAGCTGAGCCAAGCTTTGCATGTGCACAGACACTCAGAGACAGATCATGGCTGGAAGAGCTGGCAGATAAAAAATAAAAAAGCCCAAGGATGGAGTAAAAGGTCAATAAACAGAAATCCAGAGAAATGAGATGTCCCAAGGCAACACAGAGTCAGTGGGAGAGCAGAGCTCAGAGATAACTTCTCCATTTGCTTCCAGTCCCATTCCCATCCATGCTGACCCCTCATCCTGAAGGGACACAGAGTGACAGAACAGTGCTGGTGTCCTCTCAGTGCCCAAATAGTCACATCCTTGAGTGACCCTGAAGGCCAAATGAAGCTGGTGGGTGATGGAGCAGCAGCACTGCATTTGGGAGATCCACAAAACTTCCCTCAGAGTGACCAGTCCTGTAGGAACACAACCCATCAAGGGGTCTCTTCCCCACCAGCTGACATCAGAGATTGTGTTGAAGTCTCTGAGCAGCACTGCTGGATTTGTTTCTGGTTTGAGTATGGAGAAGTATTGAGTATTGAGTTCTCATACTTCACTCGAGAACAGCTGGAAAACTCCACTGGAAAGATGATGTAAAACCTGGGGAATATATGCCAAAGCCACTGTGCTCTGGAAGTGGAGTTGGCTTCCATAACTGGGGTTAGAATTCCCTAAAATGTTGGAGGGACAGCCTTGACAGTCGTTGTAAGGAACACAGAGGTGTTTTGGGGTTTTCAGGGGTCACCACTGCCCCATCTGTGCCTGGAGCAGAACAACAGCCCTTGGAAGAATTGCCTGCCCTGCTCCTTCTTCCAGCTGAGCTGGAAAAGAGGGAAGCAAGGATTTCTGCAGGCAGGGTGGGATTGAGTGTGGTTCACTCAGGCACAGTTTTCCTGGCACCTTCTAAAGGTGATTAATCCCTGTAAAACTCCAGGATAACCCAGATCAAGTAACCACTGTCATCTTCCAGCTGGGTGCTGGTGTGGGGACACTGGTCAGCACCTTCAGGAGATTTTGGGGTCTTCTGCCCCAGCTACTGGCCTGGCATCATCAGCTCAAATCATTTTAAAGATCACCAAGTGCCTTCTGTGGGAAACTGACCCAAAATCCAGCTGTTTGTATCAGAGATTTATCACACCACAGAGCTTGCCTTGACTGGCACCAGCTCATTTTAGCTGAGCTCAGACCACTGAGAGAGAAACCTGGAGAGTAACTTGATGCCCAGAGCCAGGTGTGACCCCAAAGAGCTGTCCCAGGCTGCCCTCACTGCTCCATTTCCCTGTGACAGAATAATTTAGGCTGGAAAACATCTTTAAGATCATTAAGATCATAAACTAAACACCAGTGCAGGCTCTCAGCAAACAGGTGAGATTTTCTGGAGGTACCCAAGAAGTTTGCAGAGGAAGAGGTTCCTCTGGGCTGGGAATGGGCATAACCCAGGAGAGCTGCAGACCAACTAATGGCCTTCAACACTGGACTCATTTCAACAGTTTTGTGTACAATTCTGTGATCCTTTGAGATGAAAGGTGCCCCAGAACTGTAAATCTGTGCTGTTATTATGATCTGAATTGATGCTTTTTCAATACTTCTGGAAGTGACATACAAATAATAGCATTATGATCTAATCAATATCTCCTATTTACATCTCCCCTTTCATCCAGCAAGATCACAGAGCTCTTTGAAAGCAGTATCTTCACAAGTCCCTCTTGCCTGAGCACAGCATCACCAAAGGAAGCCTGGTGAGGCAGTGTGTAATTAGGCTGATAGGATTTCACCCCATTTTTGAGTTCCCACTGCATTTTAGGAGGTGAAGATGGAAAGAGATGGACAGTCCAGCACCTCTTGCATGCTACAGAAGGGAATTTAAGTCAAGTTAAAATTTGTCTGAAGCACAAAAACCAACATCTCTGTGCTTGTAAAAGTGCCACAGAAACATTTTAATGACCATGTACAGCCTGGAGCATCACTGAACACCCCTTTCAAGTGCAAAGGTGTGCTAAGTTTATAAAACTTTATAGACTTCACACTTGTGCCACCAGAAATGAGCAGAATGATCAACAGAGACACAGGCAAGGCTTAGCAGGGAGATTGCTGTTAAATGCTCTGTGTTTAAGGTACCCCCCCCCCCCCTCACCACATGCTTTGCATTTACTCTTGGACAGAGCAGAGAAAATTAAATTTTCCTTCTGAGAAAAGAGAGGCCTCTCCAGTTGGGTTGATTTTCTTATTCTGTATGTGAAAGCAAAGGCTGCTGATGTTGCTTTGTGTTTCATTTCTTAAAGAGCCCTGCATTTCAGATTAATAACATTCTTCTGAGGAGGGTCTGCTCAGCTCCATGGCTGTGCTGATGGACAAACATAAAGCTTTTCCCTGGGATTATCAAAACCAGGTGACAATGCAAGGAGGACACTCCTGAATTAGGTCACCTTGACATCTCAATGAGCATTTTTTACTGAGAGCACTCAGCTGGTGTTCATGGGTTTTCTGCTGTTAAAAAAGAAATTCTTCCCTGTGAGGGTGGTGAGGGTTAGAGGTGCCCAGAGAAGCTGTGGCTGCCCCTGGATCCCTGGAAATGTCCAAGGCCAGACTGGATGGGGCTTGGAGCAACCTGGGACAATGGAAGGTGTTCCTGCCCATGGCAGGGGGTGGAATGAGGTGATTATTGAGACCCCTGCAACCCAAACCCTTCTGTGACTCCATGATTAAATACAATGAAGATACCCCCAGGTGAGACCACATCTCTGTGCCCATGTGAGGGAGGAAATACCCTTGGTACCCATTCTTTGTGGCACTCACATTTTCTGGAAAAATCCCTTTGCCCAGGATTTTCTCCTGGGAAGCTGAGAAGCCTCAGAGAAAAAGGAAAACAATATTATCTCATTTGCTTCTCTTGTGTTTTGTTGCATTGGAATGTGTTTGGAGATTGTTTATCCAGCAGGTGATTGTTTCATTGGTTCCATGTGAATTGTTTTGACTCTTTGGCCAATCAGGGCCAAGCTGTGTCGAGGTTCTGCAAAGAGTCACGAGTTTTTCTTTAATATCTTTTTAGCCTTTTGTCTGTATCCTTTCAGTATTCTTTAGTATAGTTTAGTATTCTTTAATATATTCTAGTATCATGTCGCTATAGGACATGAAAGAACACAAGCGCACATCGCTGTTCTCAAGATGAAGGAAAAAGGGAAGTTTATTTTCTGACTCTAACGTTTATAGTTTTTCAAGAGTGACAGTGGATTGGAGGGTGACAGTGCCACCTCTCCAATGACACTGGTCAAACCAACAGTCCATCAACTTTCTCTTCTTCCATAAAGGAATGCAAGACAATGAGTTATTCACAGAAAGTGTGTGAGAAAGTTCACTACAAGAATGTCAACATCAGAAGGCTTAGAAAATCTTAAAAAACCAGGGTGACAGTATCATAAAATAATAAATTAGCCTTCTAAGAACATGGAGTCAGATTCATAATTTCCTTCCAATGATGGGGCACCCCATAAATGCAACAATTTTCTGCACCCTAGACCCCTCCTGTAGGATGCAGACACCTCAAGGGGGGCAGGCAGAGGGTTTGAGTAGCCTGTGCAAGGTGTTGGTGCCTCTCCTCAGGTGCTGAGCTGCGTGAACCCCGACAACGTGAACAGCCCCGAGATCCCGGTGAAGATCCTCAACTGCGACACCATCACCCAGGTCAAGGAGAAGATCCTGGATGCCATCTTCAAGAACGTGCCCTGCTCCCACCGGCCCAAAGCTGCTGACATGGACCTGGGTAGGAGACTGCTGCTGGCCAGGGGGGGACAGGGGAGCTGGGAGATGGACAAACTCCATGCAGAGACTTTGCTCTGGACAAAGAGCAAAGAGGTGTTTTGGGGTTTTCAGGGGTCGCCAACTGCCCCATCTGTGTTTGGAGCACAAGAACAGCCCTTGGAAGAATTGCCTGCCCTGCTCCTTCTTCCAGCTGAGCTGGAAAAGAGGGAAGCAAGGATTACTGCAGGCAGGGTGGTGTTGTCTTATACATCAAGAGTTCTATTATCATTATAGTGCAAGGATTCCATACTGCCAGAGTTTTGTGCCTCCTCAATGTTTCTCACAGGCACCTCCTCTAAGCACTGACTGTTCCTGGTCCTCACAGCAGCCATCTGACTCCAGATCCCACCAATCCACTCTTTTATAACACTGCTCTTATTGGCTACAAGTGTGGCCTGTTAACATCAGGCCTGCTCCTGATCTTTAGTAATTGGTCCAGCTGCAACTCTTTAGGGGATAAGATTACATTTTATATCACCTTCATTTACCCATACTGTATCCCCCTACAGGGTGGGATTGAGTGTGGTTCACTCAGCACAGTTTTCCTGGCACCTTCTAAAGTTGACGTATCCCTGTGAAATTCCAGGATATCCCAGATCAAGTAACCATTGTCACCTTCCAGCTGGGTGCTGGTGTGGTCAGCACCCACAAGAGATTTTGGGCTCTTCTGCACCAGCTGCTGGCCTGGCAGGGCAGCTCAGATCATTTTAAAGAACACCAAGTGCCCCTCTCCACACTCCCTGCAAGGCAGAGAAACCACAGTGGGGCAGAGGGGACATTTTGGTGATGTTTATGCTCCTGGCTTAGGAAATATTTGGCCATAAAAAGACCAGTGCCATGCTTTTTGCCCATAGAATTCATCCTGGACAAATGTCTGGAAAAGGCATGAGTGGGGCTGTTCTTGTTCTCTTGCCAAAGACCCCTGGAAAAAAGAAACCTGGAGAGAGAATGCTGTTTGTAGTCTGAATTTGGGATCCACAGGCAGGTGTGGTACCACACCTGGAGAATATGAAAAAAATGTCGAAAAATCTGAAGGGTATGAAAAATTGTAGAAAAATCTGCTCAGGCCATTGCTGAGATGTCTGGTGGAGAGCTGGGGACTCCATTGTGGCTGAATCTGCCAGAATTTGCTCTCAGTGACCTTCAGTGAAAGAGACTGGGCTGGAAAGTGATGGAGTCTATAAAACCAGCTGAGCTGTAGAGGAACCAAAAGGAGAAGGAATGGACCGAGGCCAAGAAACGATTCACAGCAATAATGAAGGCAGCAATGAGAGGTCAGGGATTGAAGTTAAGTGTCTGAGTGTGTGTATGTGTAGGGGAGGGAGGAGTTCCTGACAGAAATTGCCCATCAAAGGCAGTTAGAATAACGGAAGGAGCTGCCAAAAGCAGCAGCAGTAAAGAGCAGATCACGTACATCATCCAGAAGAGGACCCACTATGGCTCTGGAGTGCTGAGAGGTGGGGAGAGCCTGGGGGAAGGCAGGGCAGGGTGCCAGGGCACAGCACAGCACAGCAATGGGGTTCACAGCCACATCTCCTGGCCCATCTGGTGGTCACAGAGAGCAATTCCTGCAGATCTCAGGCTGGGTGTGGCTGGGGATTGTTTGTTCTGCTGAGAGGATGAGGGATGCGTCCGTAATGAGATGCAGGAATTTTACCTGCACATTGTAAATACAGGGATTAACTGGATTCCACTGTAGTTCTGGGAGCCAGAACTGTATGTGTGTGCAGGGTCCCAGCTGGGGCCTGACAATTCTGTTTCTGGTTTAGGAAATATTGACCTCTTCAAGACCAGACTGGACAGGGCTTGAAGCAACCTGGTCTGGCGGAAGCTAGAAAGGGGCTGGAGATTTCAGATCTCTTCCCACTCATTTTAGACTGTGATTCTCTATCCAACCCAATCCAGCCTGTGATTCTATGACCTCCTGAGGAGCAGAAAGTTCCAGAAAGTTGGCATGAGCATGTGCACCCCTCAGAGAACAGGCTTGCCCACAGTGATGACAGACTGGCTAATGGGCAGCTCTGGGAGCATTGATGAGGCAGCTGGGGGGAAAAAACAATTAAAATATAAATAAAAAGTCCTTATCCAGTAGAAGATAGCAGCAATGCAGATAACAAGGTGGGGGGAGCATGGGTGAAACAGGAACAAGAGTGTAGCATTCACATTTTCTGGAAAAATCCCTTTACCCAGGATATCTCTCCTGGGAAGCTGAGAAGCCTCAGAGAAAAAGGAAAACAATTCTTATCTCATTTGCTTCTCCTGTGTTTTGCTCATGTGGAATGCATTTGGAGATTGTTTATCACAGGTGATTGTTTCATTGGATTCTGCTGTGAGTTGTTTTCACTCTTCGGCCAATCAGTGCCAAGCTGTGTCAGGACTCTGGAAAGAGTCAAAAGTTTTCATTATTATCTTTTTAGCATTCAGTAAGTGTCCTTTCTGTATTGTTTAGTATAGTTTAGATTAGTATTCTTTAATATAATATAGTATCATAAAATAATAAATTAGCCTTCTGAGAACATGGGGTCAGATTCATCATTCCTTCCTTCATCTGGGGGGAATACAAATACAAGAGGGTCCACACACCAAGTCACAGCTCCATCCCAGCTTTTCCTCAAAGAAATGATGCTCCTTGGCACCTGGCATCCTTCAGAGATGCTGCAGGCAGCAAGGAGAGTGCAGAAAGCCCTGCTGGCCCTCAGGAACCGTCCCAGAGCTCTCAGGATCAGCCTGAGCCTGCCCTGAGCTCAGGGGCTGGAGCAGAGCAGAGCAGATGGCTGCAATCTGGCCTTGGAACCCATGGCTTTCAAACAGCAGCATCATTTCCTGCTCCCATCACCATTTTCTGGGCTTTCTGTCCACGCTCAGGCCAGATTGCTTGCAAGGCAGAAAGCAAACAAGCTAATGAGTTGTTTTGAGCTGTTAAATGCAGGGTAGCTGCAGGCAGAGGGACTTGTGTGTGTGGCAAATGTCACAACGTTTTGCAGTTGCCCAGGCAACTCCTGGAGGGGGTTGTCAGCTGAAAGCCTTGATTTTGGACACCCTGAGGTTAGGTTTTAGTGCAAACCCCCAAATTGCAGCCCTCTGAGTAATGACTTCTTTCCACGGTGGTGATTTTTGTTATTATCATTTTTTAAAAGATCTCTCCCGCACATGAAACACCCCATCTTTGGGAAGGCATCAAGGTGTGAGGGTCACAAAACAGGAATGTGGCTTCATGCCGAGCTGTTTGCTCTTCCCTGGGGTCTGGATGCTTTTTGGAAGGTGGTGCTGAGGTCAGAGGTGGAGGGAGGAAGCTGCTGGCTTGGCTTGCTCTCAGTGATGCTGTCCCAGGTTCATTGTGGACCATGCCAGGTGAGATTTCACTGCCTCACCAGCCCTGCAGGGCTGGGATGTGGGTTCATTTAAGCTGGAAACATTTAAACTGGGTCTAATTTAGAATGCATAGAGTAAGACAGAGAGTTTGCATTCATCTCTCCTGAAGACAGGCTGGGAGAGCTGGAGGAGACCCCAGAGAGACTTCAGAGCAACTTCCAGGGCCTAAAGGGGCTCCAAGAGAGCTGGAGAGGGACTTTGGGCAAGGGCCTGGAGTGACAGGACAGAGGAAAATACTAAAATTTTTTTAATACTAAAAGAAGGGGAGCTTTAGATTAGATTTTAAGACAGAAATTCTTTACTCTGAGGGTTCTGAGGCCCTGGCACAGGGTGCTCAGAGAAGCTGGGCCTGTCCCTGGATCCCTGGAATGTCCAAGGCCAGGTTGGATGGGGCTTGGAGCATCCTGGGATAGTGAAAGGTATCCCTGCCATGGCAGGGGTGGCACTGGATGGGCTTTAAGGTCCCTTCCAACCCAAACCAATCCTTGATTCTATATTCACTCCATACAGGACAAAATATTTCTCTGTCGTTTCCCAGCTCCATGTTCTGGGATAAACTTTTGTTCCCATCCCTTTCTCCATCCCAAAAACAGAGCTGAGTTTCTCCTCTCTTCCTAGACCTGAATCAGAGGGACATGTAACATTTTCTGTAGGATTTGAGGTGCAGGGTGACATCTCCCCATCTTCCCTCTCCCCACAGAGTCACCCCCTAGCCAGGCATTGCTGCCTTCACCTCATTGCCAAAGGGCCCCTGGAATTTCCTTTTTCCCAGTCAAGTTGAACAGAAAGGTTGTTCCTTAAAAAAAAAAAAAAGGAGAAAAAAAGAGAAAAAAAAAGAGGCAAAGAAGTAATTCCTGCGTGCAATAAAAAGATACACTATCTGCTGAATGAAATATAAAGGCTTCACAGCAGCTGTCTCCTGAGTTTGCATTTACCACTGCTCCTGATTGGAAGACTTGATAAAGTTAATGGGATTTTTACCTCCCTCCCCCTCTCCTCCCTCTCTCTGGAAGGTGGGAGTGTAACAAATTGGATTGGAGTGTGTCTGTCCTTTGTGCTGGATCCCAGCAGAGAGGGGACAGGGTGCTGCCAGCAGGACAGAGCTGACACTGAATGCTGTGAGGATGGATGGCAGGGTCACCTTCTCCCTCCCCATTTTCGTGCAGGTCTGTTTGGGACCCCCTGAGCTCGTGGAGAAGGGGAGCAGTGAGGCCAGGAAGAGCTGGGGACAACTGGGGCTCCTTTCCCCATCATTTCCCTGTCATTGCTCAGGGGCTCAGTGAACTATTAGAGGTGGAGTGATTTGTGTTTGGGCAGGGAAATCAGGCTGCAAAACTGAAACTGGAGACTCCAAGCCTGCCCTGGAGCTTTTCCTCCTTGTTTTGAGCAGTCAGGCTGGCCCTGACTCTTCCTTACATAACTGGAAGGCCCTGCAGGAAGGCCAAGGAAAGGGCTCAGAAATCCCCAGAGCCTGCACAAAAGGCTTGAGGAGACATCTCAGGATGTCCCTGGAGCAGGGGGAAACCTGCTCTGAGCACCTTGCCCAGCCCTGGGATACAAATAAAGCCCAGGAACTATCAGAGGTGGAGTGATTTGTGTTTGCGCAGGGAAATCAGGCTGTAAAACTGAAACTGGAGATTCCAAGCCTGCCCTGAAGCTTTTCCTCCTTGTTTTGTGCAGTCAGGCTGGCCCTGACTCTTCCTCACAGGAAGGCCAAGGAATCAGGGGATCCCTGAGCCTGCACAAAAGATTTGAGGAAACATCTCAGGATGTCCCTGGAGCAGGGGGAAACCTGCTCTGAGCACCTTGCCCAGCCCTGGGATACAAATAAAGCCCAGGAACTATCAGAGATTAGGTGATTTGTGTTTGGGCAGGGAAATCAGGCTGTAAAACTGAAACTGGAGACTCTAAGCCTGCCCTGGAGGTTTTCCTCCTTGTTTTGAGCAGTCAGGCTGGCCCTGACTCTTCCTCACATGACCCTTCCCTGCAGAAAGGCCAAGGAAAGGCCTCAGGGATCCCCTGAGTCTCTGCACAAAAGACTTGATGAAACATCTCAGGATGTCCCTGGAGCAGGGGGAAACCTGCTCTGAGCACCTTGCCCAGCCCTGAGATACAAATAAACCCCAGAACGAGGAAATCTGTGCTCAAGAACCTGTGCATCCCTCCCAAAACACGAGTGTGTGTCTCTCCAAAGATGAGGCAGGGCAGAAAACATGCAGAAAACGGGAACATGCAGAGCCATGAAGGAGGGAGGTCAAAGTGACACTGTCCCCATGACCCTGTGAGAAAGGCACACAAGAAATGCTCTGTGACAGCAGAATTGGGCTTTGGCCTTGAGTGAGGCACTTCCTAAGAGCACCATTTCCCATCCCAGCCCAAACTTCAGCATTTTTTTACTCTTCTTAGCAGTGTCTGGGAGCAGTTGGATGGCAGGGATGTGGCCCAGGTGGGAATGAGCAGAGAGCATCATCCTCAGGCTCCACAGGGGTGATGTAGGTGCAGTGGTTTTTAATAGTTTATTGCATTTCTTTACTTTGTATTTGGTGTATGGCAGGGGATATGGTACACCCAATGTCATGTTCTTTAGTTTGGGTGCTAATAAGGTTGGTTTTGAAATGAGTTTTGTTGTTTGATTCAATATTTTTAAGGGTATTATGTTTTAAAGGACTTGTTTTTTAAGACCTAAGATGGTGTTACAGGACATAGTGTGAGGTATAGGGTAAGTCTCTAATTATTTTAAAAAATTATTAAGTGTTGGTTTTTTATTATTGTGAGTACACAGTGTTTACTTTGGTGTGTTTGGGGTAGTCAGATGTAGTTAGGCTTTTCTGTACTTATATTTGGAATATTGTCTGCTATTCTGTATGGCTTTTGTTTGTTTGGTTTGTTTGATGGTAGTCTCACAGTTATGGATAATCTGAGAAATATTGTTTATGGTTAGGTTTATTCTTTAGTCTTATGCTCACTTATAGGTGTTATCTGTACCTCCTGAAAGTTCCTGAGCTTCTTTCACCTTTAACATTTGTTTTTCACAAGAGTGTGTACAATTTTATAGTAGCTGGAAGCTTTCCATCCCTTCCATCAATGCCTCCCATGCAAAGCCACCCCAGCAGGTGAGGATGTGAGGGGCTGCAGTGGCTGAAGGGCGGTTCAGGATCAGTGCTCAGCCAACACAACCCCTGCTCACCCTCAGTGTCTCCAGCCAAAGTAACACCCAGCAATAAGCACAGTTGCTGACCCCTCGCTGCTAATTTCAATGAATAATAAAGGCAAGTGCAGCTTTCCCATTGCATTTTAATTATGTGATAAGAAAAGTGCTGAAACCAAAAGAAATTTGCAGCAGTCCTTGCATTTTTATATTGGGAAAAACAAACAAGGGTGGCAGGTGATGTCTCCAAATCCAAGAGTTCATTTTAATTAACTCCTGCTAATGAATGGACTTTTAGATGTGGCTCTGGCTAAGCTGTATTTGACTGGATCACTGTGACTGAAATGTGACAACCAAGAATGGTCCAGCTTGATGAAGGCTCCATGGCCTTGAAGGTCTCTCCCAACCCAGGGATTTTGTGAATTCTGTGAATTCACACATATATTGGTAGCCTGTTGTATTTATGGCTAGTTTTCCCAGTAATTTTCCATGTCTTTTCCCTAGGCTGAAAGACAAAACAAAATACCAGAGCCCCAAGCCCCAGGAGGTGCAGGGTCCCAGTGCTACCTTGGTTCTTCCTGGGAGCCAAGGTCGAGAACAACTTTTTGAGTTACATTCTCATGGACAAAGCACAGCCAATGCCAAGGGGGGCTCCAGAGAAGGGACTTGACCTGGGGAGGCTGGAATTGCATCACCACTTATCCTCCTAACTGGTGCTTTTTATCAATTATGCTAATTTCCTAAAACCTATAAAATCATATTCACTGGACTTCTGTGGACATCTTTCCACAACTGTCCCTGAAGTCCTTCAAATAAAGACCCTCTCTTATATTACTAAATATTGCTAAAATTGTCTCAAGTTTCATTTCCAGGTGGGGAAAAAGGCAACAAACACCTGTCTTATTTATTTATTTATTTATTTATTTGTTTGTTTGTTTGGTTGTTTTGTTTCTCCTTGCAGAGTGGCGGCAGACGAGCGGGGCGAGGATGATCCTTCAGGATGAGGACATCACCACCAAGATAGAGAATGACTGGAAGAGACTCAACACACTGGCACACTACCAGGTATCTGTTGGAGAGGGTGGGCAGGAGTTGGGTCTTCTTTTCAGCAAAGCAAAAAGCAAAATATTATTTATTCTCTTGCCCAGGGAAGTGGTGGAATCAGCACTCCTGGGAGCATTCAAAACCTTGTGGATGTGGCACTTGGAGACGTGGGTTGGTGGTGGCTTTGGCAGTGCTGAGTGAACAGTTGGGCTCAATGATCTTAAAGGTCTTTTCCAAACCTTAAGAATTCTGTGGTTTTTATTGTGCTAAGGTGCAGAGGTAAAGAGTGGTTGAGTGGGCAGTAACTGGGCAGAACTCCCATGTTGAGCACATCCTACCCTTGTCCCAGTTATCCTGAATAGCACTAAAGAGAAAGACAAGGGTAGAAAAAAATTCTTCTTTCTCCCTCCCAGGACACCCCTGGTGAGTGGAGGGGGTGAAGAGGAGATGAGGACAACATGAGCAAACATTTCTCCTGCAGACAAACAAATCCAAGGCCTCTCTTGCCCCTTTTCCCAATGTATCCATGGCCTTTTAATGCAGGCAGAGTTCAGAAGGATGGAAAAAGGAAAAATGGAAAGAGGGAGGCTTGATGGCTGGACAAAGGAGGTGGAAAACAGCGTGGCTGGAGAGCATGGAGCAGTGGAGTTGTTATTACAAGGAACTTTTTGATCTTTAACCTGGTCCAGGTGACCTGCTCTGCTTCCCTTCCTCCCTGCATGACCTGAAATTCATAATAGAGGGTTAGAGATGTCTGAAATGTCTTACACAAGTGGTAGATTTAATAAAAAAAAAGTGAAGTTTTGGTCAAAGTCTTCTCCCTTGCAAAAAAAAACACCTACAAAAAAGACCTCATTAAATTTAATCTGATGCTGACGATTTTGTTATTTCCTCCATCACACCTCAGCAACCTCTGTTTCATAACAAGATTATTTTCTCTTGTCACTTAAGAGCTGAGCTGAGGAGGCAGCAAGCAATAATTTGAAAAGGAAACAAAACTTTTACTTCAGATTGATTGAAGCATTGCTGGCTGATTTTGATTTGATTTTTTTTTTCCCCAGACAGAGCAAGGACGTTTCCTGCTTTATTTCATCAACAAACCAGGCATAATTTTCTTCCCTCTCTGTGCTTTTTCTATGTTTTCTTTGCCTCAGGCAATGAGCTCCTAGCTGTATGATGAGCTGGGCCAGGTCCTCAGGAAACATCATTTTCCTGGCTGTCCTGGAGGCTGACACAGATCATGCTGGGACAGACACTGAGATTGCCTTTGCCTCAGTTTCCCCATCTGTGGTGTGGGGCTAAAACTACAAAGAGCCAATAATTGCCTTCCCTGATAGCTGAGGGGCTATTTAATTAGCCTCTGCAGTGCTTTGAAGATGAAAAACTCCATGCAAGTGCTAATTATTATTATTATTATTACACAGACAAGAGTTAGATGTCGTTAGAAGGGATTTTTTTCACCCATCTCCTCTTTATGATGTCTTATTTATCACAGATGTTCCTGATAGGGCTCTTTTGAGCCACAGGCTTGTTAACATTTCTGACATGGGACCCACATGATTTGCCTTGTTGTAGAAACAGAAAGCCTGGCTCCTTTAAAAGAGTCCTGTGGTCCCTCAAAATATTGTCCCACGACATCCTGGACATCAGCCACTCCAACCTGCTGCTTTTCCACCCTCTGACACCACAAAGAGAAAGAAGTTGTGCCTGTCCCTTCAGCCCAGCAGTGCCTTTGTCACAGGGAAGGGTGACAGGATCGTAGTGGAAAATTGTAGACAGGAATTTTTGAACCAGGCACCCAGATGTCACCTGCAATCCAGGAGAAAGCAATGGAACATTTCACATCGGTTTTATCATCCTAATGGAACAGGCCTGTTTGAAGTAGCTCAGATGGTTTTATTATTCTCATGCTCCTTCTCTGCCTAAGACCTTCCCTGGGATGCACCTATTGTCAGATTTACTGGGGTTAACGCAAAAACCACCCCTGGAAGTGTTTAAAAGGCCTCTGGATGTGGCCCTTGGGGACATGGCTTAGTGGTGAACACAGTGGGGCTGAGTAAATGGTTGAACTCCATGATCTTAAAGGCCTTTTCCAACCTAAATGACTCGATGACTCACACTGTCGTCACTGGGCTTTGAATCAGGGCCTGGATGGAGCAGAATCTCCAATTGTCACCACTTGTCCCTTTGTCCAAGTGCAGATTCTGGCTGTGTAACAGCAGCTTTTGTCCCTTTTTATTACTAGACCAACTCAACAAAGCAAGAAATGGAAGCTTTGAGCGTAAACTGTGCCCTGCCTACAGAGACACTGATTTGCAGCTCATGCTGCCCTGGGCGTGGTCCTCAGCCACTTTTCAGAAGTTTATTGACCCAGTCATTTTTGTAATGCAGGTCCCAGATGGATCTGTGGTGGCTTTGGTCTCCAAGCAAGTCACTGCCTACAACGCAGTCAACAACTCCACGGTGTCCCGGACGTCAGCCAGCAAGTATGGTAAGGGTGTGTGTGTCTTGGGTTTCTGTGGTTGAAATAACCCCCAAGGTGTTAGGAAGTCTATTCTCCCAGCTCCACAACCAAAGAAGAAGTCAGGATTCCTCAGCTATACTTTTCAAGGTTGTTTATTTTCTCCTATCTATTCCATTCTTTCTCTGACCTGCTGAGATCTGTCCAGCAGGTCGGATTGTGGCACGGTCCCTGCCCTTGGGGTGGTGTTGGCTTTTTATACTAAGAACTACGTGTACTTTATTTACAATAATTTTCCAATGCCTATCACCTATGTGAGACAGTCTGTCTGTGCTCTAAACCAATCCAGAAGTGTCACCATCACAGCAGAAGATGGAGGACAAGAAGGAGGAGAAGGACAGGACACGCCCAGATTCCTCCATCTTGCCTCTTGAACCCCCATTCTAAATCCCCAAAATTCTACTTCTTCCCCCTGTGATAAATTCACTATCATTCTACTCAAACTTTTGTGGCTTGTAACTCCTCACACAAAGTTGGTAATTGTTTCCATGGGCTAAAATCAAAGGCACAGGTGTTTGTGACTCTGTGCCAAGGTCTCTGAGCCCCCTGTCAGGGTCTCAGGTCCTCCAGGGCAGCCAGAGCAATGTCCTGGGTCCCGACATGTGTGCTGGGATGGACTGGGAGAGCACTGGGAAGAGATCCCAAATGTCACAGTGGTCACCAGACTCTAAGCACCAGTAGAGACAATGATGGGCAGATGATTATTTGGTGAAATTAGGCAGGAGGGGAGGATTTAGCCATCTAAAACTCTGGCAGCTCATTCAAAGTGTTGGTCCAAGTGGTTGGACTGCTCTTGGGAGGTTCTCCTCCCTCATTAATGAAGGGAGGAGTCTGTATAATTAGCTGCCTCCCTCTTAGATCACCAAATGTCACTCTTTAGATCTGAGGTCTTTATCAGCAGATCTCAAGGCAGTGGACTGTTGTTCCCACTGTCCCCATGAGACAGCAGAGTGACACCGCTGTGGAAGGGACACCAGGTGGGAACTCCTCTGCAGGGCCAAACAGGGACCTCCTGAGTGTCACCCACCTCCTCCATACCTTCCTACCTGCACTAGAATTGCATCCAGCCCGTGTCTCACTAAGGTGATGCTGGACAGCAAAGCAAAACATCCCTGATGCACAACCAGGGTGCTGCAGACCCCCTTCCAACCTGAATGCTGCTGTCATATCACTTTATTCATATTTTTAATTTATGGAAGCATCTCCAATCCTCCTTACTCCCTTTATCTTAAAGGAAAGAGCAGTTACTCAATGTCCAGAGGTGCCCCCTTCCTCTTTCTCCAAGGACATAAATGATCCATGAGGCCTTATTAATATTCATCCTCTTTGCCATGTTGTTGCAATTACTGAAAGACACAGTGACCTTTGGAAAGGAAGATTTGAGGGGGGTTAATTTCTGTTGGATTTCTTTAATTCTTTTGCCATTTGATTTTTTCAGGAGGACGGAATAGGGAAGGAGGCAGGGGGAGGAGAAGATGTGGTGGGTCAAAAAGTGATTGTTAATTGCAATTAAGAAAACAGCATCCAGAGAGAAAAAGGATATTCCATCTGATAATTAATATGTAGAGATTGGTAATGCATTAATGAGGCTGATTCAGATCTTGCTACAGAAAGGTGCAACACTTCTGATAATTATGGTTGGAAAAGGCAACATTGCTAGAAGGTCAGGGAGAGGGGAATGCCTTGTGCCATCACACAGAGGCAAAGAGAGGTAAAATTTGGAGCTTAAAAGTATTCTTGGAGAGGAAATTTGTGGATGCCCACCTGGGGTTCTGGCTGATTTCTGCCAAAACAAGATTTTGGAGCAGGGAGTAAGGAGGATGGCTGGGCAGGAATTGTTTGCTTTGAAACCAAGGGAGGGAGGGGAGGCAGCTTCTTATAAATCAGGGGATAAGGAGCTAAATAGGAGATCACATTAGAGACACCATTATTTTTATGTTAAGCAACATGGCATGGCATGGATAAAATATGGGAAAACCAGTCACATAATGAACTGGTTACCAAAAGGAACTGGCGCTACCCCCTGAACCAAAGTGTCTGACAGTGACAGTGCCACTTGCCAGGGAACATGATAAGAGGTAAAGATTACAGAGAGCTGGAAATCAGTGTTTGAGCCTCACTTAATTTAGTAGTGTAGACATTGACATCACACCTGGCTCTGTGACATCACACCTGGCTCGTGGTTGCTGAGCCAACCACAGGGGCAATGCTTTGAAAAACGCACTTGGTGGCACGTCACAAACAGAATTCCTGAAAATCCCAGTGCCAATGAATATGAATATGAACAAGGCCAAACTTTCTCTGGAGAAAGAGGTTCTCGTTTATTAAAATAGCTACAAGGAATGGAGTACGCAGGATAAGCCCAGACACCCACACAGCAAGCCAAAAACAGAACAGTGCGCTACCCCCAAGTGCACTGGGTTCTCCCCAGAAAACAAGTTTCCAAAAAGAAGAACTTTGACCCAACTGAACTTCCCCCATTTATAGCCCCCTTTGAGTCCAGGACTGGTCCATTTTGGATCCGCATGGTGATTGGTTCATTTCCAGGCTTCTCATTGGTGTTGAACGCCATTCATTCTGGACCCATCGTTTCTGCAGGGCTTCGAATGATGGTCAGATCTTCCATCCAATCCCTCTTCAACCTCACCTTGTCCCTCCAGACTACCCTTCCACCAAACCCTGGACCCTTCTCCTAGAACATTCTAATAACCACTCTTAACATAATACAATTAATATAACATAATTAATACAATATAATTGAGCTATACCCTAATTTAACATAACTTAACTTTTACTTATAACACCGAGAGCTGCAGAGACACATGGTGACCCCTGTTTGTGTGTGTCTCTGCAGAAAACATGATCCGCTACACGGACAGCCCCGACAGCCTCTTAACATAATACAATTAATATAACATAATTAATAGAATATAATTGAGCTATACCCTAATTTAATATAACTAAACTTTTACTTATAACATCAAGAGCTGCTGAAACATGTGGGGACCCCTGTTTGTGTGGGTCTCTGCAGAAAACATGATCCGCTACATGGGCAGCCCAAACAGCCTCTTAACATAATACAATTAATATAACACCATTAATACAATATAATAGAACTATACGCTGATTTAACATAACTAAACTTCTACTTGTAACACCAAGAGCTGCTGAGACACGTGGGGACCCCTGTTTGTGTGTGTCTCTGCAGAAAACATGATCCGCTACACGGGCAGCCCAAATAGCCTCTTAACATAATACAGTTAATATAATTAATACAATATAATTGAACTATACCCTAATTTAGCATAACTTAACTTATAACACCGAGAGCTGCTGAGACACGTGGGGACCCCTGTTTGTGTGTGTGTCTCTGCAGAAAACATGATCCGCTACACAGGCAGCCCCGACAGCCTCCGCTCGCGCACGCCCATGATCACCCCTGACCTGGAGAGCGGCGTCAAGATGTGGCACCTGGTCAAGAACCACGAGCATGGAGACCAAAAAGAGGGTGACCGAGGCAGCAAGATGGTTTCTGAGATCTACCTGACCAGGTTACTGGCCACCAAGGTATGTGGTGAGGGCAGGGGACAGGGTGGGTTTGAGAGCGGGGTGGAATTTCTTGCCAGCAAGAAATGAGAGGCCGCTCAAAGGATGCCAAAGTTGGGTAAAAAGAGAGGAACAGAAGGGAAATAGAGCGAGGGGAGAGTTCTAAGCATGTGGAGAAGGAGCTTGAGCTTTGAAAGCAGAGTCCGAAAAGAGACACTGAAAAAGCAAGGAGGAGTAACAATCCAGGGCCATGAGATTGGTGGGGAAAGCACAGCAGGAGGTGCTGGAATTGTCAATTATAGTGGTTTGTAATTTGTACCAAAATTGAGCAAGTGAAGAGCCAGGGCAGGTGCTCAGAGCAAGCTCCAAAGATGTGTCAGGCCTCACAGTCTGAAATGGCTCCTATACCACAAAATCGTGAGTTTTGTGGTAAAAATCCTCCTCCATATTTTCCCTGGGCCAATAAAGACTCTTGTGCTGATGACTTGGAGAGGGTTACATTGACATTACAGTGAGACATGAAAACTCAGCATGCACAGAGAGAAAATACAGATGAAATCAAGCGGGGGCAGAGCAGGGACATCCTGACCTGAGTCTCCAAACACATCCGTAACTTTTTCATTTTCTGTCAGGTATTAATAGGCACAAACACAATTCCATGTGCTCACGCAAATGCTGCCTGAGTTTGCCGTATCAGACACATTTCCATCACTAGTTTAAGTCCTACTTTCCAGATTTACCTGCTCATTTATTCCTCAGCTCATTTTGCCTCTGATGTCTGGCTGTCCCTGCAGCCCCACTCAGGCTGGCTGAGCTGCAGAGGGATTTGGAGGAAAGGCAGCTTTGTCTTTAGCCCCTGGTCCATGCCCCATTCCCTGGCATCAGGAGGCTTTTATGGATCACACAGCATGTGAAAAACGTTGAAAAAGGAAAGTGTTGCTCCCCAGGGCTCAGGCCCCAGCTGGTGTAGACCAGCAAGCATTGGACTGATGCTGATTTATGTTGTCTGGGGATGCAGCCCCTACCCCACCACTGAACTGCTTTTGCTTTCTGTTCTAGGTCACAAACTCAACACTTGGGTTGGGCTTTTTTGTTGGGTGCTTTTTTATTGTTATTGCTCTTTTGTTTGGTTGGTTGGTTTGGTTTTGGGATTTTTTTTTGGGGGGGGTTGTTGTTGGGGTTTTTGGGGGGTTTTTTGTATGCGTTTTGTTGGTTTTGGGGGTTTTTTTTGTTGTTGTTGTTTTTTTGTGGAGGTACCTGGAAAGCAGCTGCAAAACCTGCACAGCAACAGAAAGAGTGGGAAGGTTGGGGTTTTATTGTTTCCCCTCTTGGGCTGAACAATTTTCTTTTCTCATTGTGGCCGTTTGAGGGAGGGAAGGGGAGAGAGCAGTTGCTGTAACACAATCCCCAGGAAGACTTTGTTAAACTGACAATGATTTTTATTCTGGTAAATCCCTGACCTCTGATACCCAAGAGCCTCTCCCCTAAAAGCCTCAAAGGTTTCTGTGGCATTTGTGAGGGTGAGCATGTAGAGAACTAATTCCCTGCAGGAACTGAACCTGAGGGCAGCTCTCCCATGTCAGACCAAGAGGATTTCCCCTCCTGAGCCCTTTCTGAGTCAGATGTGCTGCAGGGCTTTGTTCACCCCGCAGGAGTTCACACAAACAAAAAGTTTGCCTGCCTCTGTTTGTTTCCCAAAGAATAAATCAGGTGGTGAATCAGCCAGAGACACCAGCTTTCTAATTAAGTGTTTGTTAGCTCTAGGTAAACTTGAGCCACTCTGGTGGAACCCGGGGCTTTGTTTCTAGAAAGGAGACATTTCTTCCCTAGGTCCTTGGAGAAAGGGCAGAGTTTTATCTTGCAGGAGAGGAAATTTTTCATAGCAGGGGATGTTTGTTGGAGATTCAGGTGATTTTTGGTTATTTTAGCAGCTGTGGTGCTAAATAAATGCTTTGGTGACAGAGAAAACGTGCCCTGCCTGGTTCCATCCCAAACCCAGCCTAGAACTCCTCAGCTGTCCCCTCCTCCAAGCCTGGCCACCCTCAGATATTCCAGCTCCTCTCATTCCTGCTAAAAGTCAATTGTCCTCACAAGGGTGACTCCAAGCTCTCAATCTGAGATTCTTCTGCCAGTGGGGAATAAAAGATAAAGAGGCCTCTTGGGAATGAAGTTTGTGTTATTTAGGACACTGGTCACACATTAACCACCCACCTCTCTAGGTTCTCTTGTCCTTTTTGCCTCTGTGACACCTTCTACAGACTTCTCTTCCCAGTTTAGATGGCCCTGGGTGAAAGCCAGCCTGGAAAATGGCTAGGTTTTGTCTCATGGATGCATTAAAGCACTGAGGATGGGATGCAGAGAGAGGAATCTGTGTGGAAATGAGGTGTAATGGTTCTTGTGATGATAAACTTTCCTGCTTCAAGACATTTGTATTGAAATTCCCAGATCGTGTCACGTTTAACTGATATTAGATGGCCCCCAATTTTCAATCACACCTTGGTTTATCCACAGACATACCCTGTCTTAGTGGGGTACCAAAATTCAACATCCTCTGCCCACTTGTACCTCATGCTCTTCTTTCCTTCCTTCCTTCTCCCACCAGGGCACCCTGCAGAAATTTGTGGACGACCTCTTTGAGACCATCTTCAGCACTGCCCACCGTGGCAGCGCCCTCCCCCTGGCCATTAAGTACATGTTTGATTTCCTGGATGAGCAGGCAGACAAGCACAACATCCACGACCCACACGTGCGGCACACCTGGAAAAGCAACTGGTGAGTGAGAGAGACAGCCCAGCGCAGCCCAGCATGGATACTGGGCTGGAAGGAGACCAGAGGGAAGTGTGGTTGGCATCTGGTTGCTGGAAGAGCTGAGGAATCTGGTGTGGGGCTCAAAGGATGAGGCTCAGTCTGGCCAAGCCCATGGAGAAGTCGGAAGATACCAAAATCTAAAGGATCAGCACTTTTTGGCTAAACGGGTCCCAGATCGCCCTGTATTACATGGAAATGGCAGGATTTGTGAGGGATTTGATGAGGAAAAATGAAGTTTTTAATTGCTGCAGTGCCCAGGCTCTGCATAGGAATATGCAGAATATGCCCAGGCTCACATAGGAATATCTAGGGAGGCACAGGAGAGTATTCAACACCAGTGCCTTCATCTGCACTGGGTGTTTTAATTCCCAGCCCTATTTGTTTGCCAACACAGAGGTATCTCATGCCAGCTGAGAATTCTGAGGTACCCAAGACATCCTCAGAGGATGTGGAGCGCCCACAGGAGATTTGTACCCTCCTGGGTAGAGGCCAGGAGAGCATCTCCAATGGTGCTAGGTTTTTAAAGGGTCTGGAGCTGGATGTGAGCGTTCTTTGGAGTGAGTAACAAAGGGTGACATCAGTGGCAAAGTGTGACATCAGGGACAATGTGTGACATCAGCCCCCTGCTGCATAGGAATATGCAGAAGATGCCAGAATATGCCCAGGCTCACATAGGAATATTTAGGGAAGAATGGGAGAATATTCAACACCACTGGCTTAATGTGCACTGGGTGTTTTAATTCCCAGCCCTATTTGTTTGCCCACACATGGAGCTGGATGTGTGTCTTCTTTGGAGTGAGTAACAAAGGGTGATATCAGTGGCAAAGTGTGACATCAGGGACAAAGTGTGACATCAGTGACAAAGTGTGACATCAGCCCCCTGCTCCAGCTCCTCATCCCTGCAAAGGGACAGTGGGAAAAGCCAGGATCGGTGAAGAAAATTCTCCTTTCTGCTGAGTCTCCCGGTTGGAAAGAGCTCCCTGGGGAATGGCTCCCTCCCCGTCTCCTGTGCAAACACAGGGACTATAAAAGGAGCAGCAGAGGAGAGCCGTGGGGCTCCCAGCTCATGCATTTTTTCCTTTTCCCAGCCATGCAGTTGGCAGATCGTCACAGCGCCGGTGACATAAAAAAAGAAACCCCATGCACCAAAGAGGCTTTCAACTAATGAAACATTAGCATATTATTAACATTATCTGCGGCGCTAATCTAAGGCTGATTGCAGCCACTCAGCCTAAATGAGCAGGAGGTTTATTTAAGGGGGGAGGGGGGAAGGCAGAGCGTGTGTGTTTGTGGGAAAAGGGGCAGTGTGAAGAAATCTGTTCAATCAGATCAAATTAACTCAAAGTCACATCACAGGGCTCCTTTATTCCCAGCCAGGGACATCGTCCCCTATCCCCTCCCCACAGCCAGGCACACATACACACGCTCTGCTCCTCACCAAACACCTGCACAAGGACTTCTGCAAGGTTCACCCATCCACCTCATCCCCCCAGTGATGATTCTCCATTCCCAGCATAAATTCCCAAAACTCCATCGTGTCTCATTGACATTTTTTACTTATTCTTCCCTGAGACCCTGTGGAACAGGCTGTCCAGAAAAGCTGTGGCTGCCTCATCCCTGGATTCTTTAAATCCAGGTTGGATGGAGCTTGGAGCAACCTGGGATAGTGGAAGGTGTCCCTACACCTGTATAATCTTTAAGGCCTGTTGCCACCCAAAGCACTCTATGATTCTGTGTTTTCCAGCATCTCCCTCTTCCCCTGAACTTGGCTGACCAGATTCCCTTTGTGGGGCTTTCCTCACATTTGTTCTGTAATTTTGCTGCTCAGGAGAACACACAGGGGTTTAGGAAAACACAGTGTCAGGAAAGTTGTTACCCAAAATCCATCAGGTTCGGGGATGAGTTTTTTACAGTGTTGTGAATGCAATCAGCAAATGGGAGGAACTGGGGAGTTTGTCCTGAATATCAGGAGAAATCTTTAAGCTGAAAGATGCAGAGAGTGAAGGTAGATTTAGCAATCTGCCTGAGAGAGACACAGGGGCTGGGCTCTGTGCTCAGTGACACATCCCAGCTCCTGGGCCTGATCACTGCAGTGCATCTGCCCTGACAAAAGGCTCCAGGCAAAGGCTGGAGGTACCTCATACATGTACCTCAGGGCATCTCATACAAATGAGCTGCTCTTTGGAGGAAAAGGGGGAAAAGGGCTTTGGGTTGCAACGGGAATAGCTTTTCCTTGGTTAGGGCAGATATATTTTCATATCAAAGGCTGTGGTACTTGTTTCCCAGCTCCTTTTTTTTTTCTTTTTCCTTGAGGCAATGGGGCTTTCCCTGTCATGTAGCAACTGCTTGCTGCTCAGGGTACTGAGATCTTATGCAGGCTCAGGCTGGAGCAGCAGAGAGTAACAGGACATATTGTCCTACAGGGTGTGCCATGAGCATTCCCAGTCTCCACCTGGGAGCTCTACCTGCCTCTTTTCCCATGGGATTGCTGTGAGAGCTAAAAGCCAAGTCCCTCAATGACAAATGTGTAGAATCCCAGAATGGTTTGTGTTGGAAAGGATCTTAAACTCATCAAGTGCCACCTCCACCATGGCAGGGTCACCTTCCACTATCCCAAGTTGCTCCAAGCCCTGTCCAAGCTGTTCTTGGACACTTCCAGGGATACAGGGGCAGCCACAATTTCTCTGGACAGCCTGTCCCAATGCTTCATAACCCACACTGTAATAATTTCTGTGGGTTCAATGCCTGTCTTCATCTGGTGGAGCAACCAACAGGGTCAACTTTCCATTGCAACTTAACACAGAGAGATTCAGAGTGTTTGTCATCATCACCCAAATTTTACTCCAAATAATTTATGGGCACCTTCAACAAGATTGTATTAAGACTGAAAAAATCTGCCTTGTAAGGATTACAGGGACAAAAGGTGATGTCTCTACCATCCCTAGACTTGGTAGGGGATGGATTCATTTTGTAGCAATGTTTATCCCAGAACCTTCATATCCAGATCCAGAGTCTTTGTCATCATCACCTAAATTTTACTCCCATTAATTTATGGGTGCCTTCAACAAGATTGCATTGACTCTAAGACTCACAAAATCTGCCTTATAAGGATTACAGGGACAAAAGGTGATTCCTAGACTTTGTAGGGGAGGGATTCATTGCATAGCAAAGTTTATCCCAGAATCTTCATATCCACAGCCCAATCTTTGTTCCCCACCCTCCATTTGCTGCTGTGGTGTCTCCTGTGAGCTGTGCCCTGACTGTGTCCCCTCTGCTGCCCCTCCTGCAGCCTCCCCTTGCGGTTCTGGGTCAACATGATCAAGAACCCCCAGTTTGTGTTCGACATTCACAAAAACAGCATCACCGACGCCTGCCTGTCCGTGGTGGCTCAGACCTTCATGGACTCCTGCTCCACCTCAGAGCACCGCCTGGGCAAAGACTCTCCCTCCAACAAGCTCCTCTACGCCAAGGACATCCCCAGCTACAAGAACTGGGTGGAAAGGTGAGTTTCAGCTATGCAATGATGTCAGTTCTTTATCTTCTTTTTCTGCCTGGGTCAGGATTCGGATTAAATGCTCAGAGACAGCATTTTGTATTCAGACTCAGATGTTGATTAATTCTTATCTATGTTACAGTCTCACGAGCTGTGAGTTCTACAGTACTTTAACAACATACAAAATGGTCCCATATCTATCTCTACAAGGCCTTTTAAGGATTATTAAAAATTTTAAAAATTACACCTAAATTGTTTTTACTTTTAACTCAATAACTGACCACCCATGCCCACAATATGGATTTTTTTATCCAATTACACAAAACCACCCAAACCCATGGAAAGAAGGTGAAGAAGAAGGACCAACCACTACCCTAAACCCTCCATCTTGCTTTATATATATTATTATATTCTAAACCCTCAAACTCTGAGTTTCCCACCCTGTGATATCACACACTTCTGTTCAAACGGCACACCCACAATCCCAGCGCTATCATTGAATTTTGGAACCTTCTCCAGGCCTCAGGTCAGTGCAGTGTTCTCTTGGGGGTCAGTGCCTGGCAGCACAGAAATTCTGAAATTCTCAACGCCCAGGGTTCCAACAGAATCACATAAAGTGACACAACCAAGCTCTGCTTTGTGGGTGGAGGTAGGAGGCAGCATCACTGTTGCTTTTGGAAACTGCCCTTGGGGCTTTTTTGTCTCTGACTTTTACTTAGTAGAAATCTCCATGTCAGCCTTTTATTCGTCTACCTTGCAGCAGAGATGGAAATTTAACTAATGGTGGGAGTTGAAGGTGTTTGCCATCATGGTTTCCTTTGAGGAGAAACTCTTGAGAAGCGGCAGAGGGAGGAAGGAAGGGGAGGTGATGTGTATGAACCCTGGGAAGCACCCGGGCTTCTCAGCCTTTCCACACAGGCCTGGAGTGGTTTTCTGCTCTCAGCACCATTGTGACAGTCCCCACACTGTCTGGATCCCAAGGGATTTATAATTATCCCCCAGCAAATTCCCTTGGAGGTTCTTTTGTGAGATGCCAGACAATTGACTGGCTGCTGACTGAAGCTCTGCAGGTATTTTATGTCAGGTCAGAGGTCTTTCCAAGCATTTTGTCCACATTCCCAAGACCTGTGACTGTACTTCCATCTGCTGTACCAAGGGTCAGTGCCTGGCAAAGCTGCTCCACGGGGAATACAATCAGAACATCTCTTCCTGCAGCATGTTGGGGCCTCATTTTCCATAGGGTTTCCCCCAGGACAAGCAAACAGCACATCCTGTTCTTCATCCAGCAGGAGCTGAGCTTTGCTTTCCAATATTCTGCACTTGCCTGGCGTTATTGACAGGTTTGGGAACTGCACAGATGGAGAACAGTTGCTGCTCTGTAAATACAAAGGCGGGTTTATCCTACAGATCATTCCTGTGCACTGCATCCAGCTTCCAGCCTTGATTTCCTCTGAATGACTTCCCAGGCATGGCCTAAAATTGACACCATGTCCTGCAGGCTGTACAAGGCCTCTGCTGCTGCAGACACCTCACACTGGGCTATAAATCCCTGTATTGCCTTTGCTGGGGATGGTTTTCTCTCGTTTTGTGACAGGAGTGTGGCTGATCAAAGAGCTCCGTCCCCTACTCGGCACGAGGCAGCTTTTTTTCCCAACAATTCTCCCATTGGTCTGTGATTTGTCTGGACAATTATTTTTAGACGTGGTTAAACACTTCAGCAAATGTCGTTTCTAGGCAACCTGCAAGGCTCTTATGAGCTACCTTGCTTAATTATGACCTACTTTTGGTACCGTGTCCAAGTTTCTTAGAATGTATTGAGGCTGATTGCTGGATTGACCTGGATAATGGAAAGCAAGTGTTGGAGGTTCCATTTAGAAATCAAGTTTGCACCCACAGTGACCCAAAGGTGTCATTCTCTAGTGATGCTTTAGCAGCAATCTATGTGTTTGGGCTGTTTCTGTAGACAAATAATGGTTTTCATCTCAAAGGGGTTGATTTTATCCTTGGAGATGCTACATGTGAGTGACAAACTGAGGTATTTAAGTGGAGAATGGGATATTTCCTGATCAACAAACATCTTTTTTTCTTTTTCTCTTTTCCCTCTGGATAAACAAAAAGCTGCAGTTTCCATTTTGTTTTATTTTTTTCCAGTATTGATTTCACTTTACAATTTTTTGGAGCTAAATCCTGGTGCCCAGTGATCTTCAGCAATAGGTGCTGCATTTCCTTGGAAGTTTTCCCAAACAACTGGGTTTGCAAACGTGGTACATAACACCTCCTGCTGCTTGTAAACAGCCCTGGATTCCTGTCCCCAGCATGTGCTGGGTTGTTATCTGCACTGATGCCTGTCAACTTGAACTGAAGCCCAAGGGGAGACTGCAGGTTTTGGAATATGGTTAGAGCTTCTTCCTTGCTTTTATTTTTGTGTGTCAGTTCCACTGACTCAAGGCAGTGGCACCTGGATGCTCTGGGAGATAAAAGAAAAAACCTATCAGGGATGAATAAAATATAATTTGAGTTCTACCCCGAGCTAATGAATTCCTTCTCTCCGTTCTGCGATTGTGCTTTGAGGGAGTTTTTTCCAAATCCAAAGGCTTCCAGTGCTGGTTGGAGCTATTTCTGTAGTCAGCATCAGCTGGAGATGGCATCCTTCAAGACCACTAGACTTCTTCAAAGAGTGAATCAGGAGATAAAAAGTCAGGGAGTTTAAGAAGTGGTTGAGTAAATCAGAAAAACCTGAAATCAAACAAACTTCTTTGAGAAAGAGGAAACTCTAAGAGGGTTAATTAGTCAGTGGAAGATTGTACCCAACTTGAGGCACTCTGGATTAAAACATGCCTCGATTTAGAGGTCTGGAAATGAAGCTGAGCTGGGTTACTTCAAGCTATTTCTTTTTTTTCCTTTCCTTTCCTTTCCTTTCCTTTCCTTTCCTTTCCTTTCCTTTCCTTTCCTTTCCTTTCCTTTCCTTTCCTTTCCTTTCCTTTCCTTTCCTTTCCTTTCCTTTCCTTTCCTTTCCTTTCCTTTCCTTTCCTTTCCTTTCCTTTCCTTTCCTTTCCTTTCCTTTCCTTTCCTTCCCTTCCCTTCCCTTCCCTTCCCTTCCCTCCCCTCCCCTCCCCTCCCCTCCCCTTCCCCTTCCCCTTCCCCTTCCCCTTCCCCTTCCCCTTCCCCTTCCCCTTCCCCTTCCCCTTTCATTCTCTCTCTTTTCTCTCTTTTCTCTCTTTTCTCTCTTTTCTCTCTTTCACCTTTAGGACTCACAAAACCCAGAGCACGGAATGACCTTGGCTTGAGAAGGAGGCAGGGATGAAAGGACTTCTCTCCAATCCTTCAAACATTTGTTTTCCACCTGGGAATGTGCATTGGGAAGGGAATAGTTACAGCTTCTGGCCTCACCAGTTGACCACAGGGTGGTCAACTGGAAATTTGATTCCAAAAGATTTCAACAGCAAGATTCTCAGGAATCTTCACTGGTTTTATTTGTTTGGCTCATGTTTTAGCGTGGGATTTTCTCATGTTTTCACTTACTTCTTTGTGGTGAGGCAAGTGTTGCCTTCGGAATTGGGATGCATGACAATGACTAATTAAGACATTTTAAAATTTACCAATTTTTGTAATTTCCTGTCGACTTAATGGAAAACTATATAAGAAATGGACATCTTGCATGACATTTTGGGAGGTTGGTTGTTTCAGTGCCCATTTCTATAATTATTCAAGATAGTGGATTTGCTGACAACAGCAATAGAAAGATTATTTTACATCAGTTAAATTTAGTTGAAGATGCTCCCTGCTCATTGCAGGGGGGTTGGACTAGATGACTTCTAAATGTCCCTTCCAACCCAAACTATTCTGTGATTTTATGAAAGTCCTTTTATAACATTGTTGGAAGCAGAGGTGGACTGTGCCTGCTGAAGCAATCCAGCTGACAAATTCTGGCTTTTGGGAAAAAGCAGGTTCCCTGTTCAAATGGGACACAGAGAGCTGGAAACACGTGGCTAAAAAAGTGTCCTGGTGCAGGCACATCTTGGATTTCCTGCTGAAGAACATGAGGCCTGATGAGGCAGGACAATTAACCCAGGAAATTGGGACAGGCTATTTGGCTTTTGTTGAAGCCACCATGAAGAGTCAGGCTGTAGTTCTAAAACAAAGTGGAGGCTTTTCAATTATCATTAAAAAAAAAAAAGGAAAAGAATGGTAATGATAGAGCAGAATCTCATCTGACTTCAGTTAGTAAAACTCCATAGGCTCTGCTGAATTTACATTAGAGCAGCTTCAGATCTGCATCTTTTCAAGTTTACTTCAAATGTCCCCTTTGAGCCTGGAAATCTGGAGAACTTGGGAGCATTTGATGCAATCCCCAAGCAATACAAAGGGGAGCCTGTTCTAATTGGGACTGTCTCATTAGCATTCAACACCACACTGAAAAATGACAAAGGGCTGTGGCTGACCTTTCATTTCTCTCCATGCTGCCAAGCTTATGATAACACTTGTTTGAACTTCATTAACACCATTTAATTGCCTGCATCACAATCAATATGATGTTTCCCTACTGAAGCCTGGCACGGAGGCAAGGATGTGGGAGACTGAAAAGGGGCAGAGCACAAAAAGCAGAAGTCAAAGATTTTTTCCATTTCACACTGGTGCCCAAAACACCTGCAGGGCTGCAAGGAGAGGATCTGGTGCTCTTTTTTTTTTTCCCTCATCCCTGCAGGGACTCTGTCTCCTTTTGGCTGCTTATTGTGCATTGAAAAGGGCCCCTCTAAGAAAAACTTAAAGGAGACATCACAAGTGTTCTTAACTTAGGAGTCATCCAATGAAGACCGTTCAAAATAGGTTTGCCAGGTTCATGATCAAAAGAAGCTTAAAGTGATTTGATATGTGGTTTCAGAATTAGAACATTTGCATTTCATTGTGTTAACCTGGGTGCAAACAGTGCCTGACACAGCTGGTGCTGCTCCTGATGCCATGATCCCATCTACCTTTTTTCCTTAAAAGTACAGATACTTTTAGGATAA